CCAGCATACCGCGATCGAAACCCACTGCAGGCTGCGTGGATTCTTGACGTGGTATGGGACGTCGTAGGTCGACCCAGCCCAAAATGGGTACCAGGATGGGCTGTCCTGGGAAAGTAAAGACAGCAGGCGTAATGCTGACCACATTACCCACAGAGTGCTGATGGTCTGTAAAAATATGGGACGCTCTGCTCATATGCCCGATACGCCCAAAGGCGTGAAAAGGGATCTTTACTTTTTTTTTTACTTGATACTATTGATCTACTTTCTGCATGGTCATTCATAACAACGTTTAAAAAAAAACATGAATGCCTTACTTTGAAAGAGACACACAGTGGGAGTGGTCACTGAGGAAAGCCAGCCTGCTATGGACAAATCTAAAAAAAGTAAACAAACATATCATGCAACTTCTTCTTCTTCTGCCTTTCTATCCCCCAATGGAGCATAGGCCCTCAACCAACTCACGCCAAGTCGTTCTAACATTCGCCATTACATGGAGCTCTCCCCATGTCCTCCCAATCTTTCTAATCTCATTCTCCAGCTCTCTTCTCCATGTGTTTTTTGGCCTTCCTTTATTCCTATGCCCCTGTGGGTTCAAATGCAAAGACATTCTAGTTATGCTGTTCTGTTTTCTCAGTGTATCATGCAACAGCTGGGATTATAAAGGAAGACCCACTCCAATCACATATTGCTGGAGCCTGAAGATTTAAGTCCAGACATAATGGGTTAATACAGCAGCTGTCTAAGATAGAAAGAAAGAGTTAATAACTGTTAGTAAGGCACAATTTAGATTAGAAACAAGGGCATTTTATGTACAGGTGAATCTGGATAACATTACAATATTGGGGTTGCTACCCAAAGTAAACATTGCATCATTTGTATTTCCCTAAAAAATATACTTTTATGATTAAGGGCATACTTGGTAAATGATGATACTTCTTTATAAAATATACTTGAGATAGTAAAGGTCATAGTAAATTATAGTGTCATTTTATTTCCATATAAACTATACTTGTGAGATAGTAAAGGACATAGCAAATAATAGTGTCATTTTATTTCCTTAAAAACTATACTTGTGAGATAGTAAAGGAAATAGCAAATAATAGTGTCTTTTTATTTCCTTATAAAATATACTTGTGAGATAGTAAAGGAAATAGCAAATAATAGTGTCTTTTTATTTCCTTATAAAATATAGTTGTGAGATAGTAAAGGAAATAGCAAATAATAGTGTCTTTTTATTTCCTTATAAAATATACTTGTGAGATAGTAAAGGAAATAGCAAATAATAGTGTCTTTTTATTTCCTTATAAAATATACTTGTGAGATAGTAAAGGAAATAGCAAATAATAGTGTCTTTTTATTTCCTTATAAAATATAGTTGTGAGATAGTAAAGGAAATAGCAAATAATAGTGTCTTTTTATTTCCTTATAAAATATACTTGTGAGATAGTAAAGGAAATAGCAAATAATAGTGTCTTTTTATTTCCTTATAAAATATACTTGTGAGATAGTAAAGGAAATAGCAAATAATAGTGTCTTTTTATTTCCTTATAAAATATACTTGTGAGATAGTAAAGGAAATAGCAAATAATAGTGTCTTTTTATTTCCTTATAAAATATACTTGTGAGATAGTAAAGGAGTAACTTTGAGACAAAAAATGGTGGTGGTGTCGATACATTTTTAGGTCCACATTACTTCTAAGAAAACAAGATTTGGGAGTAAAGATCGGCACAGCCAGGCATGACAGCGGATGTACAAAAGGACTGTCACTATTAACGGTAGGACGCTGGTGTAAATGTTGAAGAGGGAATCTGAGCACCCATGGATATGTCCCGAGTGCTGTAAAGATAACCCGACTCATAAGCCAAACTTTTTGTGCGGAAGAAAACATACATCATTTATCTTAAGTAATGTACAAACAACTTCTGTAGACAAATCGCTCCTTATGTTTAAAAAAAAAGGTAAAAGGTAAAGTCAGGAGATGTGAACCAGCGTTATTGCACACGGTTATAAACCATAAGTGCTCTGCCACCAGTACAGACAGCTGATAAGAAACTGTCTGCCTGCGTCACCGTCCCCACGTAACTCCGTAGCTACAGCGACATTCCTCCATTCACCCCAAACTAGAGGCTGGGTGAACCCGAGAACCGCCCGGTTTCGAACAATAATTGTGGCTGCAGCGAGTCTCAGCTGGATTTGAAAGCGAGCCTCCTATCAACTGTGCTAACGTGGCTCCTTATGTAATTGTATTTAAAAAAGCCACAAATATGTCAGTGACTGTGAGAAGGAAGGAGATAAGACTGCCACACGGTGAAGCCAAATAAAACACACAAGCTGGTATATTGGGAGAAACAAGTATATTAAAAAATATGATTACAAAATGAGAAAGTTGAAATACAGAAGTCCAACTTTTGGAAGAAAACAGGAAGACATCAAACTGAATTGTTGACACATGCTCAAAAAGTTATCATAGTAACACTTTACATAAACCACGTAAAAACTGAACAGACTGATATATGCTGAGAAATATCTATATATTCATGAGTCATGAAGATAAAGTACAACAGTCCTGCTCTAAATGGAAGAAAGAAAGAAAAATATCATGCAATTGTTGATACATAATCAAACATTTATTATAGCACCATTTTATATACATCAAGCCAAACTGTAAATAATTGTTTTTAAAAAGTACAAACATCTGCAGTAAAACTGAATATATTTCTGTAGTACATATTTCTATGGTACAAATTTCTGCAGTAAAAATGAATGTATTTCTGTGGTATAAATTTCTCCAGTACAACTGAATATATTTTTGTGGTACAAATTTCTGCAGTAAAACTGAATATATTTCTATGGTACAAATTTCTGCAGTAAAACTGAATATATTTCTGTGGTATAAATTTCTCCAGTACAACTGATTATATTTTCGTGGTACAAATTTCTGCAGTAAAACTGAATATATTTCTGAGGTACAAATTTCTGCAGTAAAACTGAATATATTTCTGTGGTACAAATTTCTGCAGTATAACTGAATATATTTTTGTGGTACAAATTTCTGCAGTAAAACTGAATATATTTCTGTGGTAAAAATTTCTGCAGTAAAACTGAATATATTTTTGTGGTACAAATTTCTGCAGTAAAACTGAATATATTTTTGTGGTACAAATTTCTGCAGTAAAACTGAATATATTTCTGTGGTATAAATTTCTGCAACAAAACTGAACATGTTTCTGTGGTACAAATTACAAATATGTGTAGTAAAAATGAACATACAAATGTCACAAAATTAATACTAAGACGATCTTTGTGTAAAAAAACATCCTTCCCCACCTCATGATTCATGGGAACTTGTTAGTTCTCTCCCAAAAGCCCATTTTACCATTTAACTCCTCCTCATCCATGCATCCAGTGAGGTATCGAACATATGAAGCTAAACCTGTATTGGAGCACCATGTCAACCATCATCCAGTGCACACAAACACAGAAATCACAAGTGATACTCACCCCACCCCTTGGTCGGGCCACTCAGTTAACTCACTTCACTAAACTCAATATCACATATTAAGACAAAACAGTCTTCTATCTTGGTGCAGAATCAAACCCAAGACCTTTGGATCGCCAGGAAACTGACTAGCCCCTACACCGCTGCAGCTCCCAAATAAGAGATGTATTTATGAAATAATGTCTAGAAAGACAGAGATATGAATGACATAATGATAAATGAAGCAACAGCCCGATGATGCCATCATCATTAACTTACACTTTTGTTGTTGAGCTACACCAGACTGCATTACTCTGCTACTTCTTTTAGCTACACAATACTGCAATATTTCATTTACCCAGGTGCTACATATTACCTACTGTTGTGGATCAGAGGTTAGTGAACAAGTTTAACAACTTCATGATCCTCAAATACTAGGGTTAGATTTTCGTGGCAGATGGTATTAAAACTGAAAAAAAAAAATATTTAAAAAAAAAAACCACATTCTCAGGATTTTAAGATGAAGGTTTGAGAGTCGCACTGTTGAAGAGGTCAGGGTGTCATCCTGAGATATTCTCAAAGACATCAGTGGGTATCCTGTAGCCAATCATTGTGGAGATGGCACACAACTGTTTTATTGTATTTTTCCAGGAAGACTAACCAGGTCAACAAATGCCTGTAGAAGTCAAATGTGTCGGGCAAAAATCACAAATACCACAGCCATGCTGTAAAAAGGCACAACACATTTACATCTTCAGATGAACACAGAAAAAGAAATTTTTTTTTCTATATCAATCAATAAGTCCTTTATGGAACATCACTCTCTTCACGGCACGCCTGAAAGTATCCCTTTCCCTAGCCAGCTCTCCAGGCCCCATGTGCTTTCAATGCCAATGCATCTTCAATGTCTTGTATCCATCTTTGCAGTGGTCGACCCCTGCCTCGCCTTTCACAAACTGCACCTTCCATCACCATCTTTTCCAAGCCACAATGACGCTTGATGTGGCCAAAAATAGCCAGTTCTCCCTGATGTTCAACTCGTTCAGAATGTCAATGTTTTTCCTCTTCCTGATCCATGGTATTCTAAGAATGTTTCTATAACATTTCAATTCAAAAGCTCCAATCTTTTTCCTCAGTGACTGAGTGAGAGCTCAGGACTCGCAACCCTAAGTTGTCACAGGAAAAATGCATGATCTCAAGATTTTTACCTAAACCAGTCTACTAGTGCTTTGCCATAGGTTCTTCATCCTATATCAGCAGGGTCCTTTTAACTGCACTACTGCATTCAGTCAGAATGGGTTATATATGACTAACTGTAGCTACACAAGACTTACATATTAGTTACTTTACCTAGATTTGCATCCTCCAAGTCAACAAGGATCAACAAGAATCAAATGAAGAATAAAATGTTAATTGTACAACAAAAACAACAAATGCACCATTCACAGGAAAATCTTGCTCTCTGCATGACTAACTCAGGAGATATTAACCTCCACAAAAGCTCCATTAAGACACAGACAATCACAGATCTTCATGATGTTGCACCTCCGGCTCCAGCTCCAACTGTTTCAGAGTTTTCCGAGCCTGGAAAGTAAAAAGATATCAACAGTCAAACTGTGATGCCACAGCATAACAAGGAATACATCTAATGATGAGAGGCAGGTAGGGCATGAGGTAGACCAAGAATAAAATGGACAGAAAACAAGAGAAATCTTTTTTTTTCTTAATTACAATGTTTGAGATTGCCCCAAGAGCAAGATTCAGCTTGACTTCTGATACAGTAACCACAGAAGTGAAGAAGGAGGAAGAGAAGTCAAATTGGAATTGAAACATTATAAAGGATACAAGTATTGCTAAGGTAAATAAATGCTGCATGAGAGTGAAGCGCTTCTTTATGCATGCGCGCGCGCGCGCACGCACGCACGCACGCACGCACGCACGCACGCACGCACGCACGCACGCTCTCTCTCTCTCTCTCTCTCTCTCTCTCTCTCTCTCTCTCTCTCTCTCTCTCTCTCTCTCTCTCTCTCTCTCTCTCTCTCTCTCTCTCTCTCTCTCTCTCTCCTTCTAAGCCACAGCACAATATTCTCTGCTTTAAAAAAATAAATAGTCAAGTGACAAGTTCCATTCTTTGCTAAAAAGGTAAAGTGACACATCCCTTCTCTGCTAAAAAGGTAAAGTGACAAGTTCCATTCTCTGCTAAAAAGGTAAAGTGACACATCCATTCTCTGCTAAAAAGGTAAAGTGACAAGTTCCATTCTCTGCTAAAAAGGTCAAGTGACAAGTTCCATTCTCTGCTAAAAAGGTAAAGTGACAAGTTCTATTCTCTGCTAAAAAGGTAAAGTGACAAGTTCTATTCTCTGCTAAAAAGGTAAAGCGACAAGTTCCATTCTCTGCTAAAAAAGTAAAGCGACAAGTTCCATTCTCTGCTAAAGAGGTAAAGCGACAAGTTCTATTCTCTGCTAAAAAGGTAAAGCGACGAGTTCTATTCTCTGCTAAAAAGTTAAAGTGACAAGTTCCATTCTCTGCTAAAAAGCTAAAGTGACAAGTTCCATTCTCTGCTAAAAAGGTAAAGCGACAAGTTCCATTCTCTGCTAAAAAGGTGAAGCGACAAGTTCCATTCTCTGCTAAAAAGGTGAAGCGACAAGTTCCATTCTCTGCTAAAAAGGTAAAGCGACAGGTTCCATTCTCTGTTAAAAAGGTAAAGCGACAAGTTCTATTCTCTGTTAAAAAGGTAAAGTGACAAGTTCCATTATCTACTAAAAAGGTAAAGTGACAGGTTCCATTCTCTGCTAAAAACAAAGTAAAGTGGTGCATGGGGCATATAATACTAGACTCATATTTGTATACACCAATCAGGACTCTGTGGCTGTTGTGGTCAACATCACCTTTACTTTCCTGTCATTACCCAGTACCAATTTCAGCTGGTTCGAGCCAGAAGCCAAGATCAAGTTTAAACAAATCAGTCAGGATATGGATTTGAACCCAAGGCCTTTAGGCCAGAAGGTGGGGCTATGTATGTATGTTTGGGAACGAGCAAGCAGACAGCTTGGTTGGACTTGCCTCATTTGGGATGGAGGAGGGGTGGAGGGGTGTACTACAACTGCACAGAGCAGAGGTGATCTCTTATCTCGCCTGTGGGACAAGGTAACAAGTAAAAGGAAGATACTGAATAGAAGATAACATAAAATGAGAAAGAGCCCCACGCACCTGAATATGTGCCAGCTCCTTGAAGTTGGGGTTGTGGGTGAACCACAGGGCTAGGGCACATCTCTGTCCTCGAGTGACTGCCCGCACACCGTGGAAGTCTCCAGCGTTGAAGCCAACCAAACGTCCGCACTGGGGCTTCACTGCAACCTGGAGACAGACAAATTAAGAGTTCAGAATGGTATGTTACAATCATGAAACTCTTGTGGCGATGATGATGAAGATGGTCATAATGATGATTTATTCTACGATTATACTGTGAATTTTTTCTTTTTCTTCTCCTTCATTTGTCTGAGAACACAAATGTGTTGTTCTTGTTTACTGCACAGTTACAATAAATGTCCAGTGATACTCAGCCTTTCAGCTGACACATCCAACTTCTTCAAACATTTGTTGCCCAGCTTACCTTTCCTGGATACTGAAAATTAAAGATACATGCAATTCTATGGTAAGCAAATCAATTTTGCATTACTATCCATCACTGTACTTTGGAAATATCCATAGGTCGGTCTCCCCCCAAAAAATCTACAGATACCTTACCCCACCTCTGTAACTACACTTTTGTGTGTGTTGGGAATTGAGCAGGCAGATAGACTGGGTTCTGCACCACATGGTGGTGAACCGCCGATGTGTGACAAGCTGGATGCTGTGAGGGCATTTTGGGAGTAAACAGTGCCGAGGAACAGACAGATCATTCTGTCTGAGGAGAATGGCACTGCGAGGAGTTACAAGGGGATCTGGCCAACGCTGGACACTCAGGGAAAAGGCGAGACGGATATACAATCAGACAGTTTCTGGTACCATGGCAATTTTAACTCTTTCCTTGCCGCTGAAGATGGGCACTTATGGGGGTGTCCCAAATGCTGTGATGTCGATTTTCAATTCAACATATTGTATGTAACTACACTATGGTTGGTGTAGCAGAAGGACTTGTGAGTTTCAATGACCCCAGTGCTAGGTTCCCAAGAAGAGCAGTGTCTCCCATGCTGAACAAGACGCTGTGGTCTTGTTCCAGTTCTTGTTTTGCATGTAGATCTATTTTACATATCTGGTTATTTGTAAGAAGACTGCTGGCTCCTTGACTCTCAGACAGATGCACTTTGACATCCAAAGAAACATCCCTAATTAGTTGACTTTGACGACATGCCTGTTAGGAGGTTAGTGGGTCTATTTTAGAGCCCCCAAAATGGGGCTCAAACCCAAAGGTTGAGTTTTTATAATCAACATCACTTCACGCTGGCTATTCTTATATCTGGTTATTCCCATATCTGCTCATTCCTCCAGTGCAGCAGCCATACCAAGGTAGTTCTGCTGCTTGTTCTTCTTTGCGCTCACCAGTTGTAAACTCTGGTGAAAAGTTCTGGTTGTTTGTTCACTTCTGGACTGCAGTCCTGTTCCAGAACCGGAGTGTTGCATGTGCATTCATTTGACAGATGTGACACATTAGTGTGCAGACTGTTGGTTCCTTGTATCTCAAGCAGGTGCACTTTGACCTCGAAGGAAGCTCCCAATGTTTTGGGTAGGCAGCAGGTCCATTCTTGTTTTCTCTTTATAGGGCCCTGGAACCCACACGGAGAAAAAGGTGAATTATATCTGTTATCTTGACAAACAGAACAGCTTGCTTTCACTGTATGTTCAGCGTTTTTGAAAGCTGAATTAAGAATCGATATCACAGCACTCAGGACACCCCAACAGGCGCTCCGCTTCCATCTTCAGCAGCAAGAAAAGAGAAAGCATAAATTTTTTTTTTAAACAGCACACATACAATTTTTGTGTGTTTCTTTACCTGGGCATTTTCTGTAAAACCTAAAAACAAATAAATGAAGGGGAAAAAACATAAAATTTACCTGTTCTGTTTTATTGGAATGTGCAAAGAAGAATTCCCCTCCATCAAAGTCATCATTGAGATAAAGGATTGCACTGAAATGAAATGGCCAATAAATATTATTCCAATGAGGTCACAAACTACACACAGCACAATTTAATGTCTGGCATATTTCACAGCATCTCTGGTGCACTTCTGCAGAATTTAACTCGGTATATAACAAAGCACAAGAAATTAATCCTTTCAACTGAAACACACACTTAGTTTCTTCATACTGTACATCTCGACATGAAAGTCCTAGATTAATCACATGATCCCTCTGTTTACATAACAATGAGATTGCCCATCCTGTTTCTGAATGTATCAGATAATTACTTAAATAATAATTACTACATTTCATACTTATCCTTCAGTATCCTTTGTCTATTGTAACAGAATGAAAAACATGCCAAAGCAAAATCAAGGAAATAACAGAATAACAAAAGTACTATAACTACAGAAGTGATACTATTCTTCTTCAGCATTCCGAGCCCTTGAGGTCCATTGCTGCAAATATCACCCGCCTGTGACTGGTCCTCTTTTTCCAGTTGGTGACTCCAAGTGTTTGTAGGTATCCTTGGTAGCCAAAAAAGAATAGTAAACCAACATAGAATGGATGTTACCAGCTGCCACACACTGAGGGAGATACTACAGGTGGGATCTTAGCACTCATGGACTTGTTTGATGTGTATGATCAGCCCATTAACTATCTAACTAAACATAAATCCTGACTCAAATACTCACTTGGCTGCAGTCTCCCACTAGGTATTTCTAGGTACTTTTTGATACTTAAAAACTGAGTAAAAACACCTGTCTACCTGTAGTCTCTTTCTAGTTATTTCTATGTAGTTTTTGATACATAAATACTGAGTGAATAACAATATTACCTGTAGCCTCCCACCTCCCTGAGGTAGTTGTAATACATAAATACTGAATGAAGCAGTTGCTTACCTGTAGTCTCTCTGGGTAAATGCTGGGTAGCCTTTGGTACAGGAACCATCGGACTGCAGCAAACAGTTGTCTGCGTGCACAGGATGACTCAAGTCCTGCCTGTCGCTGTTATCTACAACAGTTTAATGAAAACATTTATCATGTTATCTACAACAGTTTCACTGGACATTTATAACATTATCTATAACACACTGGGTCTCTTACCGCCTACTGCTGTCCGACACACCAGGTGAGTGTAGTCAAAGTAAAGTGGTTTGGTCAGGTTGAAGTAGTTTTCCACCAGAAGTCGAGACTTCTCGCTCAACTCCAGGAAAGCCCGCAGCCCAAATGGTGAGATCGTGTTCTGCTGTGCCAGCTGTGGATAATGTTTGCAAGTGTAAGTAAAAGTAAGGACCTTTTCCCACACCTTCAGGTCATATAGGACTAGACGTATATTTTAAAGACCAACAGTATAAGTAAAAGTTAAGGAATTATGGCTTTCTTTACCTGCCAGTATCTGTGTCTTATGGGAGCGGTTTGTAATTCTGAGCAACCCAGTTCTTCTTTCAGGCATTCACCAGCTGTAAGCTATGGTGGAAAGTTCTGTTTGCTCATCCACTTCTGGACTTTGGTCTTGTTCCAGAATTTGAGTTTAGCATGCACATCCATTTGATAGATTTGGCTTATTTGTTTGCGAACAGTTGGTTCCTTGCTTCTCAAGGGTGATGCTCTCTGACTTTGAAAGAAACGCCCCTAATTAGTCACCTTTTATGGCATGCCTGTTGTATGAGATATTTACTCTCATGTTTGAAGTTTGAGGTTTGAACAATGGATCAACATCATGGCACACGGGTAGTAACCCATGAGTTCTTCCTTTTTCTTCTAACTCAAGTCTGAGTCCGGAGAAGCTCAGCACAGTGCACAGGCTCTGTAGCACCGGCGAGGATCTTGAAATACTTTGGGTAGATTTTTAACTCCAAATTTTGCTGTGGCAGCGCCGTTAGGCTACTTGTTTCAATTTCCAACTGCCAAGGGATTTTTTTACGTGCGCAACAAGGCATGCAGGCATCCGATCTCACTACCCAGAGACCAGGGGGAATTACTAGAAGTCCACGAGAAAAAATCCCAGCCCTTACCGGGGACTGAACCAAGAACCTCTAGCAATCGAGGCGGACACCATACCTCAAGAACATGCAGCTCCTATTTACTCTCATGTATAAAGAGTTAATGGAGCCAGGGCTTTGTGAAGTATGAGTACACACGGCATTCAAGTTGTGCTGATGGGTTGGAAATGTGGGCATCTGGGGCCATTAGAAGAGAGTGGAGCATGGGCCACTGAGGAAACATGAGTCGCTTAAAGTTCATGATGAACTGTAAAGTGAAGGTCAATTTTCCACACCTTTAGGCGTATAGGACATATAGGGCTAGACCTATATTATTATAGACCAATCCGCACAAGATGGGTGATGTGGTCAGCATAATGCCGGCCGCCTTTACTTCCCGGGACTGCACCCGGTCCCCACTCAAGGTTGGGTCGACCTGGGAGTCAAGGTCATTTTTTTTTTTTCAAAGTCCAGCTCCGCCAAGGAGCGAACCTACAACCTTCCGATCCACATGCGAGCATCTAGCCACTACGCCAGTGCGACTCGATGATGAACTTTACCTAGCTTATAGTGGTCCTACTGTCGTTGGCCTCTCTCTGATCTCCTGTAGGAACATAATAGTTATTTTGTTTTCTGAGGGAGCTCTTGTGCGAGACTGAAGCAAGCCATACATCCTGGGCACTTGGTAGGATGCGTTACCTCCTAAGAACACATAGGGTCTTGTTCAAATCCAGGCTTGGCTCCCACTGTTAGATCTGTTCTAAGAAGGAACAGGCGTGTGTCTTTGAGCCTGGAGATTTAGGGTCACGTGACTAGTGCAGTCGCTAAGGTCTGTGCAGTTTAGGATCTCATTTTTCCTCCTGACTAAACAATCAGTAGAAATTAATTGAAGTGGCTGCGTCATCGGAGGAACGAGCATGCATGGGAATGTCCCATTAGTGATTAGAAAGGATACCCATCACAGCCCTCTGGACAGATCCATAGGTGATCCAATCTCCTCAAAAGCTCCATGTGTGTAAAACGATTGATGACGCCTGTTCTGTGTTAGTTAATGAAAGGTCTTGTCCCCTTAGTGCAAGGTTCATTTCTTGCAGCTAGAGGCTGCACTCCCATGTCCATGTGTAGTGACATCGACTGTGATAACATAACAGAACATTTAGGTATACATTACAAACCTTGGCAGCTCTATAGATTGTGATCCCTTGATACATCTCATGCTCCGTGTGGGGAGATATGAAGGAAGGCTTGGAGTCCAGGTGGTCATAGCCGTCACCCAGCAGAGCTCCGTTCTACACACAATCAATGGGTGTTATTGTTACATGTGAAATGACACAACTAGCCATGCACCAAATGACAGCGGCTGCCATGACATTTATACTAGAGCAAACAGAAGACCGGTGTCAACTGTAGAAATAAAATGACACGGGATTGAGTCACTCTTTAAAAGTATGGACACATCAAATTTATGCAAAACATTACATAGTTCTTACATAAAAGAGAACATTACATAGTTCCAACTGATAAGAGAACGGTACATAGTTCTAACAGATAAGAGAACATTATATAGTTCTAACAGATTAGAGAACATTACATAGTTCTAACAGATAAGAAAACATTACATAGTTCTAAGAGATAAGAAAACATTACATAGTTCTAAAAGATTAGAAAACAATACATAGTTCTAACAGATAAGAAAACATTACATAGTTTTAACAGATAAGAAAACATTACATAGTTCTAAAAGATAAGAAAATACATAGTTCTAACAGATAAGAAAACATTACATAGTTCTAACAGACAAGAAAATATTACATAGTTCTAACAGATTAGAGAACATTACATAGTTCTAACAGATAAGAAAACATTACATAATTCTAAGAGATAAGAAAACATTACATAGTTCTAACAGATAAGAAAACATTACATAGTTCTAAGAGATAAGAGAACATTACATAGTTCTAATAGATAAGAGAACATTACATAATTCTAACAGATAAGAAAACATTACATAGTTCTAATAGATAAGAGAACATTACATAATTCTAACAGATAAGAGAACTTACATAGTTCTAATAGATAAGAGAACATTAGATAGTTCTAATAGATAAGAGAACATTACATAATTCTAACAGATAAGAGAACTTACATAGTTCTAACAGATAAGAGAACTTACATAGTTCTAATAGATAAGAGAACATTACATAATTCTAACAGATAAGAGAACTTACATAGTTCTAATAGATAAGAGAACATTACATAATTCTAACAGATAAGAAAACTTACATAGTTCTAATAGATAAGAGAACATTACATAATTCTAACAGATAAGAAAACATTACATAGTTCTAACAGATAAGAAAACATTACATAGTTCTAACAGATAAGAAAACATTACATAGTTCTAAGAGATAAAAAAATACATAGTTCTAACAGATAAGAAAACATTACATAGTTCTAACAGACAAGAAAATATTACATAATTCTAACAGATAAGAGAACATTACATAATTCTAACAGATAAGAGAACTTACATAGTTCTAATAGATAAGAGAACATTACATTCTAACAGATAGGAAATGCTGCATAGTTCTAACAGATAAGAAAACATTACACAGTTACAACAGGTAAGAAACCAAACAAATGAAAAGTAGAACTAGTCAGTTTCACAATAACACAAACGACAAATGAAGTTGCAGACAGAAAGCCTTCATCAGCACATCACAAAAAATCTACAATACCACAAGTATGACCGTGAATAGAAAAAAATCACTCAAATTATGCATCTCTGACAGACACATTTCTGTTAGGCCAGTAGAATATCTGACAAGTGTATGGCCACCGGAAATAAGTGCAGGCCAGAAAAGGCTGCAATGGTTGTGATAGGTACCCTATATATTAAGAGCCGAGGTAGTGTATTGTTGTGGCTACTCAAGCCTGCTGGCCATAAAATTATGGGTTGAAACCCACAGTGAGTCCGACCCCCCCCCCCCCCTAAAAAAATGCCTTGGCTCCCAGGTTGATTCAGTCTAAATGGGTATGAGGTAATGTCCTGGGAAGTAAAGTCATCTACATAATGTTGACCACATCACCCACTGAGCACTAAACAGCCTAGCAACATCTGCCTGATGCACCACTGGCATGAAAAGAGACCGTACTTTTTACTTTACCCTCATCATCATGTAGCAGCTCTTTTGCAGAATGTCGTTTTCATCCCAACCTGCCTGAAAGAAACTCGGTCACTCAGCAGATCACCAGGCTTTTTCTGCCTTGCTTTTGAATCCCAGCAGCAAACACACAGATGATTTGATTCCCTTTAAACCAGCACAACTGCTAGAAAACTGTTAGCAGGTAAGTCATCTGTTGTTGTTGCTGTACTTCTCCTCTTTCATTTGTTTTTCTTCTCCTTCAACATCTTCTTCTCCTCCTCCTCCTCCTCCAACTTCTCGTTCCCCAGCGTCAAACTCCAACAGAGGTCCTGGTTGTTCAACTATGTCTGGACTTTAGTCTTATACCAGAACTTAAGTCTTGCTTGTACATACATTTTACTTGTCTTTTTATTCTCCTTTGCGTTCATCAGTTGTAAACTGGCAGAAAGTTCTGGCTGTTTCTACACTTCCCGACTTTAGTCTCAGAACCTGTTGCGTGCACATCCATTTTACAGATCTGGCTTACCTGTGTGCAGGCTGTTGGTTCCTTGCTTCGCAGGCAGATTCACTCCGACTTAAAAGGTTGTCCAGTTAGGATAAGGATTGCCAGACAAGAGAAGACAAGCCAAGTGACAAGCCGAGCTTATGACATGACTGACTGGACTTTTTACCCCACTAGGACAAAACACTGAGCGAATAACACCTGGTGCCACCATTTGGATGAGAATCACTCATTGAGAGATCCCAGAAACCCCGTTCAACCATTAGGTTATTTATATTAGGGCTCCCGGCAACAACCAGTGCTTCAAAAAAATGAAAAATGTGTCCCACATGCGCCATTTAAGTGTGACCAAGGTAGTGGCTCCCACAGCCTACCTCTCTGTGGTTTGCATACAGTTGCTCCTTCTGTTTTCATTCTATTATTATCTGAGAAGACTAGACAAATCATAGACTACCCTTAGGAAGGAGTGTAATATCCTCACATTCTTTATTTCTAAATTCTTTCACAATTAGATTCAGATTAGGTCAGAGACCTTCTTCTTCTTCTTCGTCGCGTTCACCAGCTGTAAACTCTGGCGGAAGGTTTTGGCTGCTCGCCCACAAATGAACTGCAGTCCTGCTCCAGAACCTGAGTGTTGTGTGTGCATCAGTTTTACAGATCACATTCTCTTGAATACAGACTGTTGGTTCCTTGCCTCTCCGGCAGATGCACTCCGACTTCAAAGGAAGCTCCCCAATTAGTCGACTCTTACGACATGCTTTTGGGGAGGCGGTGGGTCTATTCTTGTTTTCCCCACAATGGGGCCGCGGAACCCGCACGGGGGGGGGGGGGGGGGGGTCAGAGACCAAAATCACATCACTAACCCCCCCTAAAACATCAATGCCAGTGAGGAAGAGAACTGAACTCTTTATAAGTGCCTAGCTTGCCTGGGTGTTGTAGGACAATGGGGACATCAGCCTAAGGATTTAAGGCTTTCGCCACGAACTGTGGCGAAGGTTAGGTTTCTTATTTTTGCCCCGACAGAACAAAAATCTCCATCCCTTACTGAGGACCAAAACTCTGTCTCCCTGTGCCGGCACTCACCCAATAAATGTCTCAAAATAGGTGGCAGGACTCCAGTGTTGCCACTTTGGATGTTTTACATCCAAAAGTAGATGTTTTCCCTTGCATTTAGATGGCATTTTTTATGTTTATATGGTAGATGTCTTTCTATATGTTTTTCATTTGGAGTAAATTTATCAAATCTAACCTAAGAAACAGGATGAAATTTGACCTCCTAAATCTCCTAAATGCTGTCTTGACAATAACATTTTGCCTGATAAGAGTATGAAAAAGCTGTTCCACTTATCAGCTCCCTGTTTGGGTATTAAAAGAAACTGAAACAGCTAAAGCATACCAGAGTCATTTTGGATCTGAAGCTTCAACTTCATCATCCAAGCTAAGTTTATCCTGTGGATCTTGTAAGGCAGACTTCAGTAAAGATGAAGACATGGTTCTATAGGGTAAGTCATATCAATTGATATGTAATTTATTATTCTTTCCATTTGGATGTATTTTCTAGATGTTTTCCACACAAAGTTAGATGTTTTTAGACATTTATGGACTCCATTTTGGATGTTTTTTGTCAAAGAAAAGTGGCAACACTGCAGGACTCACAAACAAAAAATCTATTTAAGTAGCCTGAAAAAAAAAGGATGCCAAAAAAGGTGCCGGTACTGCATACCGGCCACAGACACACACACACAAAACCTGCACCTGAGAATAACAGATTAAACTACTGGCTTACCTGAACCATGCTTCTGAGAGTGCTACACTGGGCATCAGAGGCCAGACCATCTGCCACGAATCGTTCAGTTCCCAGAAGCTCCTTACCCGTCTGTACCACACGAACACCTGCATAAGGAGGTATAAGGTGTTTGTTGTGTGACAGAGTCAAACAGGATGCCAGTATCAAATGTCTTAGCCTTTCTTCGTCTTCTGCATTCGCAGAATGGAGTGAATTTAAGAAAAGAGAAAAGGTCAAAGGTTAAAGCCAAGAGGATCGACTTCATTGCACCAGGTTTTATCGAAATGGCTCGGTTTTTCTGCAGAACGGCTAGCCGTCTGCCGAGAGCCTCGCACAGAGGACAAACTCCATAGCTCCAGCAAAGATCACCAGGGATCTCCTAAAAACTGCACTTGTAAACTGAACATGCCGTGAAACGAACCCACGACCTTCAGAGCATGAGGCAAACGGCTGAGTGCATCCGCCTGAGAGGCAAGGAACCAACAATCTGCACACAAATAAGTCAGATCTGTGCAACATATGTGCAGGCAATACTCAGGTTCTGGAACTTCTTCTTCTTCTTCTTCGCTTTCACCGACTGTAAACTCTGGTTGCTGGTCCATTTGTGGACTCTAGTCCTGTTTCATAAACTAAGTGTTGCGAGCACATCTGTTTCACAGGTCTAACTAATTTGCATGCAGACTGTTGGTTCCTTGCCTCTCAGTCAGATGTACTCCGACTTTGAAGGAAGCTCCCAATTAGTCGACTCCTACAACATGCCTTTGGGCAGGCAGTGGGTCTATTCTTGTTTTCCCCAAAGTGGGGCCCCATAACCCACACAAGGAAGGTTCTGGAATAAAACTGAAGTCCAGATGTGGATGAACAACTAAAACCTTCCGCTGGAGTTTAAGGGAGTGTCCATGATAAAAGTGAAGAAAGAGTGCGAAAAACTCGATCTTTATTTTTCGTCCGTGAATGCTGACAAAATTGGGCCATGGCTGGTTAAAAGTTATTTACGTATCCTTACAGGACTTTGCAGAACCAACCTCAGTATTCTATTGTTGTTGTGGTTCTACTAAGCAAATTTTACATTCAGTAGTTTGTCACTGCTTTTTGAGTTCGGTACTACTTTCGAAACCAACGCAAGACAAACCATCAGCAGCTGGGATTGAACCCGGCACCCCAGCATTACGAAGCTCATTTCGTAACACCTAAGCCATAGATATACTGACCTGTGGGAATCTACACCCAAAAAAAAAAATGGGCTGTGAGCCCGTTGGAATTCCCAGAAAAAATCCTTTAATAAAATCACTACACACAGGTCACTAATAAATTCTTCTAAAATGTATTTACCTTTATTTATAAATTTATTTTTGGGATATATAAAGATACATTAAAGGGGTAATCAATAAACACAGAGTGAAGCAAAATATGGAATCTAAACAAAAAGTATTTGGAAGGAGAGGAAGACAAGCAGGAGAGAGGAAAAATACCTTCTTCTTCAAACTGTTTCATGATATCTTTTGCATTCTTAGCCTCATTTGCAAGTCTCAGCTCATCAATCCTCTGCAGCAAAGTCAAAGTGTCATGGTAGTCCTTCTCATCATTGTTCACATCAGTAGTGTACCTGTCGACGTAGAAAAGTAACAGTAAGACGTGAACTGACGTGTCTCCAGGGCAATTTAACCACCACCTCAAGAACGCTAAATCACAAATATATTATGAATTTAAATGGGTCATGAATTCCAACCCCCCCCCCCCCCCCCCCCCCCCAGCCAAATCTTTTGATGGAACCAATTTTACACAGGTAACTAACGCATATAAACAAAATGTATGTACAAAATTGGGCCCCAGAAGCCACACAGAGAAAAGAAGCAATGTTAAAATATAAAGTATTTTTCAAATAGAAAATAGAAAATTTTTGCTTGTAATAATAAGAGTTAATTAATTTTAATATGTTTAATACAGGGATTATTTATGTAACTAATCATCATGTACATCTTTAGCTGTGGAAAGGGTTCTTAGCTGTTACTTTTATGGACTATTTAATTAAGCATTTTTAAAAAAAACATATATGATACCTAATAATATTTTCAATAATACAGCGCTACAGGAAGTGTTAAAACTGCAAAATCACAACAACAGAGATGAGATGTTTTAGCAGAGCAGCTGCAGTAAAAGATCAAGAAATAAAATACAAACAAAAAGGATAACATTTAAAATGAAGACTTAGAAGATGACTGGGACTGAAACCTGTCATAAAGTTTTATAAAGAGCAACAGATGAGATGGTTTGGCCATGTGACAAGAATTGGTACCAACTGCCACAAAGAACCACCCAGAAGAAATATAATGGACAAAGAGCAAGGGAAAGATCACACAAAAAATGGAACGACGGCATCAAGAAAAACCTTAAAGAAATCAAGACCAACGTATACAACACACAGGAAAGAGCAACGAAAAGATCCTTAAATCTCTCCTGAAAACTTTAGTGAAGTAACTGGAGGAAATGAAAAAGAAGAAGAAAAAGGAGGAAGAGGAAGAAAGAGGAGGAGGAGGAAGAAGAAGAAGAAAAAGAAGACTGGAGGTGTTGGTGTACAAAAGTATAGGATACCTGATAACCATGGCACATCTGGGATTTCCACTCTTGGGCACCTTTATGGTGTGACGATCGCCCGAGTTGAAGCCCACAGTTCTACCGCACTTGATGCCAAAAGCACTCTGAAATTGAGAAAATCAGGGATTTGTTTGAAAATAACGCAACATGTCTCATTAACCTGTTTCATCCCCAGGTAGACATTGTAAAATAACAACATACAGCATAAAAATGAGTTAAATTTGTAAATGTGGAACAAAAGCAAAAACAACAAGAAGATGCATTTAGTGCGAACCATGTGGTATCAAGACAAAGGTTCCACTTGGTCGAGACCTATCTAACACCTCTCCATGGTCATCCTAGACATAGGTTCTCAAATTCAGGGCCCGGCCAACCTAAAAAGGATCAATGTTTCCTTCAAAGTCAAGGTGGATCAGAACCAACAGCTTGCACATACAAAAATCCAGTTGCAGACTTAAACCCTGGAACAACACCAAAGTCCAGAAGCGGATGAACAACCAGGACTTTTTGCTAGAGTGAACAAACAAAAAAGCAGAAGAAGATTTAGTCAGAGGGATATGCAATCATAAGAGCTGCAGTCAGTGGTGTAGTGACTAGACAGTCATCTGCCAGCCCAAAGGTCTTGAGCTAGAATCCACACTGAGTCTTGTTGCTTTTTTTTTCTTCTTTCAAAACTGACCTTGGCTCCCAGATCAGCCAAACCTAACATGGGACTAGGCAATGTGCTTGAAAATAAAGACAGCCAACGTGATGCTAACTACACCATTTGCTAACTACACCACTTGCTAACTACACCACTTCATCGCCATTATCCCCCCTGTAACATTGCGTGTCACTGGGTCACCAGCTGCTGATACCTAACTGTCAGATCAGCAATGGACTCCTTGGTTGCATGCTTAAGACCTGTCCAGTCAGTCAAGTTCTGTATCCAGATCTTTCTTGGTCTGCCTCTTCTCCTCTTAACCTCTAATGAGGCCTGCAGTATTGTTTTTGATAGGCCATTAGATCTTATTACATGTCTATACCGTTGCATTTTCCACATATTCAATGTAGTTAAAACCCTAAATACCAAAGTCTATAAATATAAACACATTTGAGTCTTGCACCAAATATCTGATGTACCACTGGCACAAACAGGGTTCTTTAATATTTTGTATTCAATTATATGCAGTCAATACAACAGGCAGCTGCTGTGGTGTAACGGCTAGACACTCCCCTGTGGTTCTGAAGGTCATTGAATCAAGCCTTCATGGAGCCAGACTTTTTTTTTTAAATGACCTTGGTTCAAAGGTCAACCAAGCTTTAAATAGGTACCAGGCAAGGTCCTGGGAGTTAAAAGCAGCCAGCTCAGTACTGACCACATCACCCACCAGTGCCAGTTGGTCTATAAAATAAAGGTCTAGCCCTATATGCCTGAAGGCACAGAAAAGAATCCTTTACAGTACAATAAATATTTTCAACCGAGGATTCAAACGAGCGTTGTGCCCATATGTTGGCACCCTGTTAACCCAAGTGTGGCTGAGAGGTTACTAACATTATTTCCTAATGTAATCATCGACATTTACCAAGGTTCAATTGCTGCTAAGGTCAGTGTGAAAAAAGACAGTTCTGCAGGCTTTCAAATAGCGATGGAAAATTGGAACTAGCGTCATGCACGCAGAATGGCTTGCATCACATGATATGACTCATTTCATGGAGTTTCTGTCTAGGATATTCAGGTGTGTGCGGTAACAAACAGGCTGATAGATTAGCTGCTGACGCTTCTCTGGACAGTGAGCTACTTTTGGATAAAGCGAGGCGGTGAAGGCTCTCTGGGATCAATACAATACAACAGAGAGAGAATCCTCACAACATAATACTGGCATAGTTAATAGTAAAAACATTGAAGTAAACTTCTATTGTGTCCTAGTGTGGGTTCCGGTGTCCCACTCTGAGGTGCGACTAATTAGGGATGTATCCTTCAAAGTCCGACTAGACCTGCATGACAGGTAGGAAAATAACAGTCTGCATACAAATAAGCCAGATCTGTAAAGTGGATCTCAAGTTCTGGAACAAGGCTGAAGTTTAGAAGGGGATGAACAACCAGAACTTTCTAAAAGTTTACAGCTGGTGAGCATGAAGAAGAAGAAGAAGAAACAGTGGTGCAAGAGTCGTCCCAAAGAAGAGATTGAGAGGGCTTCGCAATGTAAAACAGACATAGTTAACAGTAAAAACATCAAGGTGAACTTCTATTGTGGAAACAGTACAATTTCTTTAACCCAGCCACAGATATGACTACACAAACAAGTACTCATGGCTTTTGTCTAACAATAATCAACTTACATCTACTTCGTTCTTCTCATTTAGAAACTGAAAATCTCCATCCTCGTCTGCTGTGTTCAGATAGGTGACAGTTCTTATGTGGAAAAAGAGGGTAAATTTAGCATACATAGACAATCGTGCTTAGCTATTTTAATACATCACAAGTAGCAGTATGGACTGCAGTTTGATGTCTTCTTTTTTTTTTCTTCCATTTCTTCTTCTTCTTCTTCTAGGCAGAAATTGCTAGTTCTAAAACTTGAGTTTTGCATGCATATCAGTTTCACAGATCTGGCTTATTTGAAAGCACCTCTCAGGCAAATTGACTTGAAGGGAAAACCCCCAGGTTAGTCACCTTTTATGACACGCTTGTTAAGGGGACAGTGGGTCTGTCCTTTTATTTTTTCAACAATACAAAGGGAACCCACAAAGGGATCCCTCTAGTTCTTATCATTCCTCTTCTTCTTCTTCTTCTCATGCTCATTTCTAACTGCAAAAGCTCCTTTCAGACAAGTCTATTCATTTCTAACTGCAAAAGCTCCTTTCAGACAAGTCTATTCATTTCTAACTGCAAAAGCTCCTTTCAGACAAGTCTATTCATTTCTAACTGCAAAAGCTCCTTTCAGACAAGTCTATTCATTTCTAACTGGGAGAAATCTTACATATACAGGTTAGATCATGTCTCATCAAACATAAGTTCACTTACTTGAAGAATCATATATGTACATCAGAATATAGCTTACAAGTCCATTAATTTTTAATAGTTAAGAAACTAATGTATAAAAAAATAAACTTACCAGATACATGTTATTTATTTCTAACTAAGAAGAAGCTTACATGTGTGAGTCAGAATACAGCCTATCAGTCTTATATCCTCTCCTCTTTTAATACTGACAAACTAATGCATAGCAAAGAATGTTGGGGTTGGTTCTGCAACATCCTGTAAAGGAAACGCAACTAACTTTAACTAACGTATATAAGTATAAACATACTTATCATATAAATCAGCTTCAGATATATGTTACTAATTTCTAACTGAGGAGAAACTTACGTGTATGAGTCAGAATATAGCTCATCGGCCATGTCATCAAACCTGACACAGGTCCCATCTTCCTGTATATGGCAGCTTTCTATCAGTGCAGGCTCTGTAGACATGATACGTTGTCGTAACAACTTGTTTTACAAGTTCTAGATTTAGTTACAGTAAAGTAAGCCAGTATGCATGTCATTAACTCTTTTTTTTTTCCGGTCAGTTTTAATACCAACTTCCTTCCCGGTGTGAGCTCCGGGGCCCTATTATTGGGAAAACAAGAACAGACCCACTGCCTACCCAAAAGCATGTTGTAAGAGTCGACTAATTAGGAGCTTCCTTCAAAGTCGGAGTGCATCTGCCTGAAAGGCAAGAAATCGTCTGTCTGCAGACAAATGTCAGATCTGCCAAGACTCTGGTTCTGGAACAGGACTGCAGTCCAGAAGTGGACGAACAACCAGAACTTACCACCAGAGTTTACAGCTGGTGAACGCAAAAAAGTAGAAGAATACCAACTTCTATTTATTTTGTTAATTCTAGAGTCTTGATCCTTATGCCTTGTGAAATGTCATTAAAAAAGAAACGCATCGTTATCATTCTCTAAAACACTACCCTAAGAAACTAAAGCAAGCGAAGAAGAGGAAGAATAAATTCAGAGTATGGTCGGTTTTTACCAAAATCCAGAAGGTTGGATTCTATGACCACTGCACAGACAGGCAAGCCTGCTAACTACTGCATCACTGTGGCCCAAAGTCACTAAGAAGATGGAACTTTCATATTTAGAATTATTATTGTGTGCAAAGGTTATTTTTTTTTTTTTTAATGAAGGAAAAGTAATCAGTAAATACAAACAAAGAAAAGAAAAAACTCTTTCCTATAACCAAGAAAACAAAGGTTTTGTTGACACAGCGATAGACTGCCAAGTGATGTCATCATTGGTTTATTTGATTAGATTCAACAACCGACATCGCAGCACTCAGGGCATTCCCATAAGCGCTTCGTCTCCATCTTCAGCAGCCAGCGAAGAGTTCCGATACTAATGGTGCCAGTAGCATTCTGATTAAATGTCCGTCTTGCCTTTCCTCTGGGCCTCGAGCATCTGCCAGAACCTCACGTCACTCACAACTGCATCAATCTCACCAGACTGTGGTGATCAGTCTGCTCCTCCAAACTGTACAAGCTCTCCCACAAGGCACTAACCACGTCTGCCTTATCATGCATCAGTATTCCACCAAGCTGTGCAGAGCCAGCCAGTCTGTCTGCCTATTCATTTCCCAACACACTGACATACCGCGGTGAAAAAATTCAGACAATACTCCTTACCCGTGTCTTCTGGAGTGAGGCATGCCACTCTGCATGAAACATACCTGTTCTGGTCTTTCTCAGCATGCTTTCTGAGTCAGTTACAACCACAATGTGTGTGTGTGTGTGTCGTGTTCTCTAGCCAGCGGAAAGCTGCAGTGACCGCCTCCACCTCCATTCATAAGCTGGATGTTGTGGTATCATATGCTAGGCTCTCCTGCACCAAATGTCGACCATTAACTTTTGCTAAGAAACCCCAAGCACTTCTTTTGCCTCTTGACACTGAACCGTCTGTGTAAATGATCAAATCTTCTGAGCGAGCATTATCATGAATTAATTTCTGAATTCCCACCTCTTTTTTTTCACCTCAAATATTACCTCAAAAAACTTCTTTTTTTTTAAAAAATAAAAGCACACCCACAATCTATGAGCTGCAACCAGTACCACAGCTGTTATTCAGGCCAACTGGCCACTAACCAAAGACATCATGTCATCAAAAATATGTAAAAGCCGGCTTTCCCTTAGCAACAGGGTTAAACCACATATCAAGACAGTATATCAACCACTTGTATTAGCATCCTAGTATGACAACCCAATGGTGGGAGGAAAACTGGTACACCAAGGGTCATTCCAATATTTATAACACTTTATAATATCAATTTAAAATTATTGGCACTTTTCCCGTCTTTTCAGACTAGATAGAGTTATGTTGTAATATATAGAGAGGTGGGATTCAGCCTATGGGGATGCGACTATTTTAGGAAGGGGGAACACAGATCACTTCCCCACTAACAAGCATGTCATAAAAGGCAATTAGAGGTGTTTCTTCTTACGTCAGAGTAAATCTGCCTGAGAAGTGAGGAACCAACAGTCTGCATACAAATAAGCCAGATCTGTAAACTGGATATGCAATCAACACTCCCAAAAAGTCCTGAAGAGGACAAACAACAAGAACATTCCACAGGAATTTACAGCTGGTGAACGCTAAGTAGGTAGGAAAGATAGAAACAGTTAATATCACTGATAAAACAGCAGACAAAAACATGAGGCATGAAGATGTCTTGAAAGATACAAAGAGAACTGACTGCCCATCTCAGAAGAAGACAATCTACATTCTTTGGTCAGGTCAGAAGGAGAAAACTGGAGTGCATCATGATCCTAGGAAAGCTGAAGGCGAAAAGAGGCACAGAGAGAAGATATCGGACAGTATGACGTCAGGGCATGTGTGTACGCACTTACTGAAAATGCACGGGTCTCAAGGTCCTAGACAGACATGATTACCAACACAACACTGCACGGACTTCCAGGCACGGGTCTCAAGGTCCTAGACAGACATGATTACCAACACAACACTGCACGGACTTCCAGAAGAAGTATTTCCCAAGTGGGTTCTGAGGCTCCACTGTGGGGGAAATAAGGATAGATCCACTGCCTACTTAAAAAGAGTTGACTAATTGGGAGCTTCCTTTAAAGTCATTGTGAGCTCCCTCTGAAGGCAGAATGCATGTGCCCGAGAGGCAAGAAACCAACAGTCAGCAGATCTGAGTCAGATCTGTAAAACGGATGTGCATGTGCATGCAACACTGAGGATCTGTAACAGGACTAGAATCCAAAGTGGGTGAACAACCAGAACTTTCTGTCGGAGTTTACAGACAGTGAACATGAAGAAGAAGACAAAAGAAAACTCAAGCTTTAAGCAGTGTTCACTCACCCTGTGGTTGAGACCAGCATACAATAGAAGTGTACTTCAAATGTAAGGACACCGATATCTGCAGGTATCTCTGGGTATAGTGCCTGACAACTTCTGCAGCTCTGACAAACAGCCTCAGAGAAGCCTCGTAGTCTTCATTCAGGTCATCCTCCAACCTCTGTGGAAGAACAGTGTGACTATGGAGTCATCAGGCATCAATCATAACCCATTTAAAAATCAATCTGTAAATGGCAGGCACTTATGAAATTAATTGTGTGTGCGACTACTGATCTGTTTAACTGGTGCTTCCATCGATAATTCATTTATATTTATATATATAAAACAAAGAAGACAGGGAAATACAGAAGAGGGAAGAGGAGGGAGAGAAAAAGGAGGTCTAAGATCAGGAGGAGAAGCAGAAAGAAGAGGAGATAGCAAATGTGGAAAACAAAATTATAGTTGTATTCAAATATATCGTAAGACTGCTAACACACCCACACACACCCTGGGAATCATCGCAGGAGCTACAGACTTTGTGTTCTACACTGCGCTCTTGACAGGCAGCTAACCGCTCTGCGGAGAGAGATCGAGCCATATGGGATAAAACCCGGTGCAATCAGGTCGATCCTCTGGACTTTAAACCTTTTTATTTAACACACACATACATATACACCCCCTATTTTACCATACACATATATAGCCTCTGCTCATCACTTACTCATGTCTATACAGCATCAGACTGAAGATTTCATCAAACTTTATGTTTCAATTATCTGATCATGCGTTATCTGGCCTTCATATGAAGCAAAGAACTGTAACACTTCACACTATCAGGCATGCAGTAACAGGTGACTAGGGTGAGAGTGAGGTTGAGCTTGGGGTTGACTATCCCATCTCGTTAAAATACATTAGCCACAAAAATCAATAAATACTTGAAAAGTATTTTTTTTTTTTTTAAGTTTAAGTCTTTATAGGGTGTTGCAGAACCAACCCCATCAATGCTTAGCCATTGTGGTTTTTGCTAGGCACATTTTAAGTTCAGTAGTTTGCCACTGCTACTGAATGGTCAGCTCTCTGTACCACTTTTGAAAGCAACGCAAAACAAACCGTATGCAGCTGGGATCAAACCCGGCACCCCGGCATTACAAAGCCCGTTCACAACGCCTTAGCCACAGATGCTGACTAATGAACTATACACATGTGAAAGGATATTACCATAAAATTAATGACCTGAAAAAGGAACTAATGAACATTTGGCTGTACCAGTATACATTAATGACTATCATCATTATCAATCAGCAAGTCCTTTACAGAACGTCACTCTCTTCACGGCACGCATGAAAGGATCCCTTTCCCTAGCCAGCTCTCCAGCCCCATGTGCTTTCTATGCCAATGCGTCTCCAATGTCCTGTATCCATCTTCACGGTGGTCGACCCCTAATGACTATAAGTAACATATACTGCTGTGTAACTCACCTGCCTTGCAACCTTCAAATCAAATTTTCTAGAACCAATGGGCTCAGTTGGTAAATCCTGTCAGACATAAAACGAATAAATTTACAATTTACAGAACATATCAGAAATGTAACCACATTAATTAATAATTTAACATTTGAAAGTTGACAAAACTAATCAGAAATTAAAAAGCCACTCAATTACCAGTTTCATTTCACAAGTGACAGAACAATTTAGAGAAACAACTTATTATATCAAGACCTGAAATGTGTTGGGGAATTACAAAAGAATAAAAGACACTCAAAAAGTAATCAACTCCAAAATCCAAAGAATCTGAGTTATGCACCATTTCAAAATAATTTCTGAAGAAAATAGAGGGTTTTTGAACAGAAATGCTATAGAAAGATTCTTACAATTTCATGAACCAAGAAAACAAAAGAAATACTGACAGCCAAAAAGATCAGAACACTGAGGACAACTGGCTCATAAACAATATCTTGTCTTGGAAGCAGAAACACAGAGGACATGTCAAGCACCACTGGTGGATTAGGAAAAACAGCAGCAGAGGGCATCAGACCGACCAGGACGAAGATGGGCACTGAAGGTAAAAGACATACTGGGCAGGAAAGTGACTGAGACAGGAGAGCTGGCGAGGGACTGAGTTTCTTTCAGGCAAGCTGCGATGATCTGTAAAGGACCTGCTAAATGACGATGAATATTCAGAGATGAATGGAAATCAGTAATATCTGCAGCAAAGAATCTCAAGGGCTATGAAAGCATCTTCTTCATGTTCACCAGCTGTAAACTCCAGCGGTAAATTCTGGTTGTTCGTCCACCTCTGGACTTCAGCCTTGTTCCAGAACCTGAATGTTGCATGCACATCCATTTTACAGATCTGATTTATCTGCATACAGATTGTTGGTCCTTGCCTCTCAGGCAGATGCACTCCTACTTTGAAGGAAGCTCTTAAAATTAAAGGATGAGGAGGAGGAGGAGGAGGAGGAGGAGGAGGAGGAGGAGGAGGAGGAGGAGGAGGAGGAGGAGGAGGAGGAGGAGGATGATGACAGGAAAGAGAAGGAAGAAGATAGATGACCCATAGTTACTGTGGTTTACAGCTAGGTTGCAATACCTGCGTCTGTCAGCCTAGCACATCCAATTTCAGCAAGCCCTTTATTCATCATTATCCTTTGTGTACCGTTAAGATGTCACACAGGGCTCCCATTCAATTTCTCCACTCCGCTCTATTGCATGCAACTCTCTCGATTTCTAACATGGAGTTCAGCCCAGCATTTTTGGCCTCTCATAATAATGTTCTTCTTGATGTCTCCCTTGGATGTCCTCTTTTTCTCAGACCATTTGTTTCCAATTGCAGTGCTTGTTTTGTAATTCTTTGCTCATTTCGTCTCAGAGTAAGCCCAATATATCTCCACCTTTTCTGTCTTAGTGCAGTCATTACAGGTATTTGTAGAGACATTTCTCTGATCTTCTCATTGTTTTTGAATTCATCCCATTTTTTATTTATGATTTTTCTCAGATATTTATTTTCAACATTGGAGAACATCATGACAACTGGAAAGATCAGTGGAAAAAGGGTTAGAGGCAGAGCAAGAGAGATGATGCTGGATGGGCTGAAACAACGGCATGGAGGGATATCATCAAGAGAGCTGTTCCAGGCAACCAGGGATCGTGATCTGTGGAGATGCATGAGCACCTTAGCCAGTTGACAGGGCACATGATGATGATGATTTATTTTCAAATGCATTTAACTGTCATTTCCATATCTTTGGTGGTTCTCTAACTTGTCCTTAATTAGTCGCCTTTTGTAATATTCTCATTTAGAGGTAATGGATCTTTTCTTGTGTCCCCCTAAAGTGGGAGTCGAGGCACCACACCCAGGAGACAGACACTGACAAATCAGATACCTGTATTACTCAACATAACTCACCTCAGTCAAAGCCAACAGCTCCTCACATTGGTCCTCCTTCAGTAAGCCATCCGTGACGAACCTTTCGTGTCTGTGCAGGTCTACCGATTTAGAAATGATGTGCATACCCAACTTCTCATACCTAGACATCCAATCGTCTGTTTCTTTCAAATCCTGGTCCGCTCGACTCAATAAATTGATCACTTCGCCTTCAGGCAACTACAGCAAAAAAAAAAAAAAAAAAAACATTATAGTTTACTCTGATCAATTCCCCCTCAGGCACCTACAGCAAAACAAACACCATTACGGTTTACTCTGATCAATTCCCCCTCAGGCACCTACAGCAAAACTAACACCATTTTGGTTTACTCTTATCAATTCCCCCTCAGGCAGCTACAGCAAAACTAACACCATTTTGGTTTACTCTGATCAATTCACCCTCAGGCAGCTACAGCAAAACTAACACCATTTTGGTTTACTCTGATCAATTCACCCTCAGGCAGCTACAGCAAAACAAACACCATCATGGTTTACTCTTATCAATTCACCCTCAGGCAGCTACAGCAAAACAGATACCATCATGGTTTACTCTGATCAATTCCCCCTCAGGCACCTACAGCAAAACAAACACCATCATGATTTACTCTGATCAATTCCCCCTCAGGCACCTACAGCAAAACAAACACCATCATGATTTACTCTGATCAATTCACCCTCAGGCACCTACAGCAAAACTAACACCATTTTGGTTTACTCTTATCAATTCCCCCTCAGGCAGCTAAAGCAAAACAAACACCATCATGGTTTACTCTTATCAATTCACCCTCAGGCAGCTACAGCAAAACAAATACCATCATGGTTTACTCTGATCAATTCACCCTCAGGCAGCTACAGCAAAACAAACACCATCATGGTTTACTCTGATCAATTCACCCTCAGGCACCTACAGCAAAACAAATACCATCATGGTTTACTCTGATCAATTCAACCTCAGGCACCTACAGCAAAACAAACACCATCATGGTTTACTCTGATCAATTCACCCTCAGGCACCTACAGCAAAACAAACACCATCATGATTTACTCTGATCAATTCACCCTCAGGCACCTAAAGCAAAACAAACACCATTATAGTTTACTCTGATCAATTCACTCTCAGGCACCAACAGCAAAACAAATACCATCATGGTTTACTCTGATCAATTCACCCTCAGGCACCTACAGCAAAACAAATACCATCATGGTTTACTCTGATCAATTCACCCTCAGGCACCTACAGCAAAACAAACACCATCATGATTTACTCTGATCAATTCACCCTCAGGCACCTACAGCAAAACAAACACCATCATGGTTTACTCTGATCAATTCACCCTCACTCAGGCACCTACAGCAAAACAAACACCATCATGGTTTACTCTGATCAATTCACCCTCAGGCACCTACAGCAAAACAAACACCATTATGGTTTACTCTCTCTCTCTCTCTCTTTTTCTGTCTCTCTCTACTGCATGTATGTACCACACTTTTAGAGCAGTGTAGGGGTCGTGATCTTAAAGTTAAAAGAAGATTAAGGTCAAGAGGATCGACCTCATTGCACCGGGATTATCCTACATGGCTCAATCTCTCTCCTTTGATTGGCTAGCTGCCTGCTGACAGCGGTGCAGAAAGCACAGACACCATAGCTCTTGTGACAATTCTCAAGAGTCTCTGAATGACGTAGCCATAAAACGAACCCATAATCTTCACACGACCTATTTTGCTTGATCAACGTGGAGGTTAATTTAGAAAACAGTTTGCCTCAATGCAGATTCGAACCGAATACTTTTAGAACAACAGGCGAGTGTCTACCCACTACACTCCCTCATTAACAATTTGGGTCCCAAGCAGCAGAAGCATGTGTGATAAATTCATTCTCATAAATCCCAAATATTATAAAATATGTTGTTACTTTTTTCATTTGGTCATAGAATGCTAAACAAATCTGACTTTTCAAAGTTGAGCTTTAAATGTGAGCTTTATTTATCTGATTTTTTTTTTAAAAGGTGAAAGTCAAGGGGATCCACTTCATTGCACTGGGTTTTATCCCATACGGCTCAGTCTCTCACTGCAAAATGGTTAGCCGCTGCCAAGAGCGCAGCACATAGCATGAGTTCTGTAGCTCTGGCGAGGATCCCCAGGGTTCTATGTAAAAAATTCAATTGTGAACTGAAGGGCTCGGCCGTGAAACAAACACACGACTTTCAGAGCGAGAGCCAAACAGCTTGACTACTTCGCCGCACGGACACTCCCCCCCCCCCCCCCCCTTGCGCCATATATATATTTATCATATTATCATTACTTCAGAATCCAATCCTCAACACGTAAGGATTGGATTCCCATAGAAGGCAGTTTAGAAAAAAAGACCCATTCTCCTGGCTTTTAGACAGTGGTAGTACAAAGAGCAAAACATGTGTTGAAGAGATGGGACCTCAAGGTATAATATTCCCAATGACAGCAGTTGGTTACTGCAGGCAACCTCTGAAATGGATTCGACATAAATCTTTAATTAAACAAAAAAATTCATTCAACACACACACACAGAAAGTTACTGTTCATAAATTCACACTAACCAGATCACGCAGCCTGTACTCCCTTTTGATGATGTCCATCAACGCTTGCATCTCTTCCCTCAGCGCAGCATATTCAGCGACATCCTGGAAACAGTTCATAAGAAAATTGTTGCACAAATACCGTATTTTTCTGTGTATCCGCCGATATGTTTTCCCAAATTATTCAAGTTTAAAAGTGGGATTCATCTTATACACAGAATGTGCTTCAAATATGTATTTCTCCCATGAGTTCCGGGGTCCCATTGTGGAGGGAAAAAGAATAGACCCACTGCCTGCCAAAAAGCCTGTCATAAGAGTCAACTAATTGGGAGCTACCTTTAAAGTCGAAGAGGCAAGAAACCAACAGCCTGCATGCAAATGAGTCACACCTGTGAAACGGAAGTGCAAGCAACACTCAGTTTCGGGAACAAGACTAGAGTCTAAAAGTGGACTTCTTCTCCTTTGATCCTTCTGTCAGGAAACATATCAGGAGGCGGGTAGCCTTTATGAAAGCTATCATGCAGTCCATATCTTCTCGTGTACCATACAGTTTTGTCTTCATTGTGGTTGGAACAGGCCAGATTGCATCTCTGTTGTCAAGGAAGGCAGTGGATGTAAGATTCAGTGGAACATTTGGAACTATGGGAGGGAGTTTGAGGTCAGCGAGCTCGACATTTGCGTTCTTAATGAAATATGTTTTCTTCACTAACAACCAGAATTTTCCGCCGGTGAACATGAAAAAGAGTTAGAAATATTTATTTCTTAATTTTTGAGCTAAACAAAGGGGTTTATGTTTTACATGGAAAATTATGATATGTATTGCTTTATATATCTGACTTGTTACTTTGAAGCATAGGACATAAGAAGTTACAGTAACAGATACTGAAGGGTTTACAAAACATGTGGAGTGCACATACAGTTAGAATAATCTTGACAAAATGGAACAGAAGATACGAAGCAACTAAGACTTAGTTTAAACCTCAAGCCCCAAACTGACATTGGTTGTGTCTGCATCTGCGCAGCCTTTACATGGTCCAGATATTATTTACTAAAAATAGCCTTTAGGAAGCTTTTTGGTGTGAAAAACAGCTATTTTAGAGCCATCATGACACCATAAACTGAACTCTTTTTTCAAAGGGTTTGTGGGGAGAAAGGGCTCATATGAGATAAAGTGGTTTCTTGCAATAAGTCACTGTAGATATTATACTTCTACCACCACTTTTTTTTTTTTTTTACAAGGTGTCTTGTTTGTGCGTCAATGATGTAGATCTAAGACCCGAACTGCAGGGAAAACAGGAATTCTAGTTTCTCTCCCCCTACTAAAAAAAGCTTCACCAAAAGTATCTGGAGAATGAGAAGCAGAAAGACAAGGGGGAAAAAAACAGACAAGAAGATCTTCTTCTTATTTTGCTTTTGCCCTTAAAAAGATGGCTGGTACATTATGTTGTGGTTCACAGCTAGGCTGTGTCATCTGTGCCTTTTAGCCAAATACATACAACTTTAGCAAGCTCTTAATTAGCTGCCCTTTACAAAATGCTTGTTGGGGAGAAGTAAGTTTGTTTCTTCCACACGGGGAGAAGACAACAGTCTTCTTCTTGTTCTCCGGCAGAAAGTTTTGGTTGTTTATCCACTTCTGGACTTCCATCTTGTTTCAGAACTTGAATTTTGTATGTGAATTCCATTTTACAGGTCTGGATTATTTGTATGCAGACTGCTGGTTCCTCACTGCTTAGGTAGATGGGCTCATACTTCAGAAGAAAAATTCCTATTTAGTCACTTTTTACGACATGTTTGGCAGGAAGGCAGAGGGTCTGTTGTTTTTCTCCAAAAATGACCCTACACAGGGAGAAAGGAATATTAAAATCATGTTCCCTGGGTGGGTTCCATTGTAGGGATTGAGGGGAAAACAACAATAGACCCACTGCCTCCCCAACAAGCATGTCATAAGAGAACTAATTGGGGGCTTTCCTGGAAGTCAAAGGAACAACCAGCTGCAGACAAATAAGCCAGTACAATAGATGTACATGCAAAACTCAGGCCCTGGCATGGAGCAAAAGTCTAAATGGACGAACAACCTGGACTTTCCCCTGGAGCTTATAGCTGGTGAATGAAGAAGAAGAAGAAGATAATCATGCATTGGTACAATGCTCACTTTCTGTGGGATGAAATCATCATCTGTATAGTGAAGTTCCTTCTTGAGGATGGCTTTATTGTCTAGCATGACTTGATGCGTGGAGTTTAGCAACAGGAATGACGCAGTTGCTTCTGCGGCTTTTTCCAACTCACCTTCTATAAAGAGAACCATTAAATAATAAAATCAACATGTGTGTGTGTGTGTGTGTGTACATGTTTGGAATGTAAATGTGTGGCAGCATGCACATAAATGAATGCACAGGTGTGTGTGATCATGTGTATACACACAGACACATGCATGAACTCTGCATCGCTAGGTTAACCAATTGAAGTTTACTGTGCACAAATGCTATTTACCAACTAAGTCCCGGCCACACTGGACTACAGGTTACTTTGTAACTGTTTCTGTGGTGCCCCAGTATAACGGTGCGATATGGCGATACAGTTGATGGGATTTATGAGATCTGTAGATGTTTGATTCTCATCCTTGAGATTGTTAATCCAACAGACATTCTTAATCCTTAAAAAAAAAATTCTATGGATGCCACGCTCACAAATTTGTTTAGTATTTTAAGCCTTTATACATGGAGAAATAATTATGGTAGCTATGAGTTGTATTATGGTTATGAAAAGTGTCTGGAGTCTAATGGGAATCACTTTGAGCCCCACGTAGTAATGTCAAACATCACATGTAAATTGTATGCATCTTACTGTGTCTGAATAAATTTAGTTTCAAAATGTTTTTACAGGTCATTATTTTAAAAACTCTATGCAACAAACTGCTACCTTAATGTATTCAAAGACTGCAAATATCGTAATTGTAGATACATTTAACTTTTGGCTAACTGTAGCATTGGGAAGAGGGGGGGGGGGGGGGGGGGGGGGGGGGGGGGGGGGGTATTCTTGTGAGCCAAATGGCTTATCTAAAGCCATGTTAATGTAATATTTTCTCCACAGTTTAAATTATACAGGGTGACAGGGACATGACAGGAGTCCGCTGCGACGTATTGATTTTTAGGCCCAAGGAATGTATTCCATGTAAAGCTTCACTCTGTTCACATTTACTGATTACTCCCTTTACATATCTTTATCTATTTTTGAGTGGCTCTGTGGCTAAGTTGATGCAAACGCTGCGTAATGCAGGGGTGCCGGGTTTGATCCCAGCTGTGGGACATGCGCTGGTTTCGGCAGTGGTATCAGGGGGCCGACCATCCAGAAAGCAATGGCAAACTACTGGACGTAAATTTGCCTAGAGAAACCACATAACAGCCAGGGGCTGCTGGGTTGGTTCTGCAACGTCTTGTAAGGATTCGCAACTAACCAGATGTATTTAGAGAAAACATTTTCTCAATGTAGTAAATTTTTTATTTTTTATTTTTGTTTATGATTTCTTCAGGAAATCCTACGGGTTCATGACTCATTTTGTTAGTGTTCCTGTGGTGTCGGGTTAAATCCAATGTGATACAATTAAAATTGTCACTTAGGCAAAATCTGCTGCTGCTGCTGCCACTGAAAGCTTAGAAAAATCTAAAATACCTGACTGGAACATTGTTTCTGAGGGACAGACAATTTCCACACACCAAAGATTGAAATCGTGGCTCTACACCACCTCTGGTAGGATGAAGAGACTGCTGCTGGGCTTCTTCTTCTTCTTCTTTTCCACCTTGTACCTCAGCAAAGTGTCAGGGGGAGATGTAACATTCGTTGAGCTCTTCGCGTTCACCAGCTGTACACCCTGGTGGAAAGTTCTGGTTGCTCGTTCACTACTGAACTGCAGTCCTGCTCCAGAACCTGAGTGTTGCATGTGCATCAGTTTTACAGATCTCATTCTCTTGAATACAGACTGTTGGTTCCTTGCCTCTCGGGCAGATGCACTCCAACTTCAAAGGAAGCTCCCCAATTAGTTGACTCTTACGACATGATTTTGGGTAGGCAGTAGGTCTATTCTTGTTTTCCCCACAATGGGGCCCCGGAATCCACACAAGGGAGCACTATTTGGATCGATGTTCATTTCTGTAAAGCTGTTCTTAATACCATCACTCCATCTTTTCCGAGGTCTTCCGCTCACTCTATACCTATTGTAATGTTTCAGTGTGGCTTGCTGTGGTAGAAAGTAGCAGGACATTTTTGTTAGGTGTCCAAACCACTTAATTTGCTGTTCTTTGATGACCTGTAAGACTGGTTTTATTCCTAGCATTAATCTGATTTCATTATTTGATAGTGCTGGGCTAATTTTAAAAATCAAACTAGCTGTACCCGGCTATGCGTTGCTGTGGCATAGTTTGGCTAAATGGAAATGAAAGAAAATAGAAATCGCACGTGTCTAATACAATCATTGCCTGCTCAGATATAGAGATAGTCTTTGATCCCCCCCCCCCCCCCACCACCACCAAAACTAAATCCACCAACTACTCTCTCCCTCATCAAAGGTTTTTGGAAAAGAAAGACAATGGAAATCGCACGTGTCTAATATAGTTAATGTCGCAATCATTCTCTGCACAGATATAGAGATTTTCCAACTTTAGAACACGCACCTTATAATTGTGTCTTTATATTAGTGGTCGTTTAAATGGTGTTATTAGCACAGTAACAAAAATGGTTATTTGGTTATCACATGCTAAAGCTGTTTGTATTTTTATAGGAGACGGAAGTAAAGCTACAACTGTACTTGTAAATAACAAAGTAAGTCGTAAACAATAGAAAAGCGGAGGTAGCGTTAGTAAAATATAAACAAATTAGGTAATGAGAACTTGAAAATCATGTGTAAAGCTCTTTAAGTTCTTTTAAATTTAAGTCATTACCCCCTCCCCTCACCTCTTCCACCGACAACTGCTCTCTCCCTCTTCGAAGGATTTGAAAATCATTACCTGGCGATATTTTTTTGTTGCTGTAACTGACATTGACATCCCTGTCCATCCGGACTAAAATGAGGAGCAGGAATTGTAATAGGTAGTGAATGGGGCTAGTGTAATATTTACCACATCATCCTTCAAGTACCAGTACAACTACTACCACTTCCACCACCACAGTAGCTAAAATAATGTCACTGCTTTCTGTGTTACCATCGGAGTAGACAGAGAGTCGTGAGCCAGAAGATTTGGTTCTGCATGGCTAGTGCTGTCGCCACAGACTGGTCAGGTTAGGATGTATAATTTCGCTTCCCGACAGAAGAACGCCATAACCTTACCAGCGGTCTTCTCATGAGAGCACTACGGTGTAACAGCCCAACCACAACTATTACTGCTGCTGCTACTTTAAGTGGGTAAAGCAGTTACTGTGACTTAAAGCTCTCTTTCAGTTAACAGTTCTTCCCCCCCCCCCCCCCCCCCCTTCTCCCCCAAATTCACCGACAACTCTTTCCCTCGTTGAAGTAGTTGGGAGAAAAAAAAAACACTTGAAAAGCAAATGAAAACAGGAAAAAAACACCATAATTAGGAAATTAACGCTATGGTAAACAGCACAGCTTAAAATCCAACGCAGATGAATTAACTTAATCTAAATGAAAATAAATGGAAAGCTATGAAATTTTAGCGTAACCATGCAATCGGAAATTTTTAAAATGCAATCATAAGTATGCGAAATGGTCAAATTTAATTATCAAATGATTTACCCATTTACTTGCCTTTTTTTTTTTTTTAGTATTAAGGGCAACATGGCTAGTTCTGTCACCACGACAGAGCAGATGAGGATATTATTTTAGTCCGGGGGAACAAAAATTAACTACTGCGGATTCGAACCCTGGTCTCCCACACAGGAACCCAGTGTTCTAACCATTCGACCAAGCAGCCACTTCATCGGAGCAACGAAAAGAGAACTATTAGAGATGTGTGTCCTTACTACTGTGTCCCGATTATAACACAACTCAAAACCGCAGGCAATTGTTTTCTCATAGACAGATACTCCAGATATATTAATGAAACGGCACAATAATAGAAATCGCACGTGTCTTACACGGTTAATGAAGTTAATGTCGCAGTCAATGTCTGCGCCGATGTCGAGATGGTCCTTGATTTCCCCCCCCCCCCACCCCCTCCCCCAATTGAAGGTTGTTTGAAAAAAAAAAAAAATAGAAATTGTGTTTAATATGGTTTGGTGGCAAATATAGAGATAGTCTTGTTTGCTGTACCACGACCTACTCTATGTATTAGAGAAGGCGTTTGCTGAACGTAACTCGCCGGCGAATGGTGGAAGCCTTGCGTTCTGACTACGGTGCATGCGCAATTACTAACGTGGCTATAATTAGATGTCACTAACAATTTAAATATTAGTTTCGAATATTTTTGCTTAAATTGTCGCAAACTATCTCTAACAATGACAGGTTGAATTTCAAACCATGATGGGTGAACATCCGATATCAAAACAAACATATCCTGAAAATTTCAGCTAAATCGGTTCAGTAGTTTTCGAGTCTATAGCTCATAAACAAACACACAAACTTTGATTTTTATATATATAGACAACCAACCTACAATAAGAATATTTTGGCAGGTGTGGTCACCCCACTTCACTTTGCCACTGAACTAGAACATGTGAAGATCTGCCTGCCTAGAACTACCATTCAAAGTAACAAGTTTCAAGAACCGAAAGAGTTAACAGTTTATCTTCTTCTGCTACGTTCACCTTTAAAAGGGTGGTTAGCACACTGTGTTGTGGTTTAAAGCTAGACTGTGATTTCTGTGCCTTTCTGCCCAACACATCCAAATTCAGCACATCTTTATTTGTTGTCTTCTACAACCTGCTTTAAGAAACAATTTGTATTGTGAAAACTCAGATATGTATCAAGATGACCATCAGATAAAGCACGACAGGTAACCCCCTCACTCAGACACAACAGAATGGATAGATGGAATATGTGAGGCTGTGAATACCAGCATGTATGTAGCACCAAGGCTCCCACCTGAAGCTTCTTCAAAACCTGACGCTGAAAGGCAGAAGAGGTCTAGAGAAAAGAATGAAGAATAGAAAAGAAAAATCTCGTAAAAACGATCACTTACTTCTGAAGTTAAAGCTGCTGAGACATTTACGACAATGGAGTTACCTTTGTAATAAGCAAACTGCAAGTGGTGGTAAATATCCTGCAGCAAAAGCTTGATTGGTTCGGTATAAATGGTGCTCAGCTTCTTTTCACAATCCAGCTTGCAGGCCATTATGTCCACGATCGCATCTAGGAAACAAGCCAAGTTTAAGTTTTCTTTTTCATCTAGAACAGTGGTTGTCTAAGCTTTTTTTGTCATCTAGAACGATGGTTGTCTAAGTTTTCTTTGTCGTCTAGAACAGTGGTTGTCTAAGTTTTCTTTGTCGTGTAGAACAGTGGCTGTCCAAGTTTTCTTTGTCATCTAGAACAGTGGTTGTCTAAGTTTTCTTTGTCATCTAGAACGATGGTTGTCTAAGTTTTCTTTGTCATCTAGAACAGTGATTGTTTAAGTTTTCTTTGTCATCTAGAACAGTGGTTGTCTAAGTTTTCTTTGTCATCTAGAACAGTGGTTGTCTAAGTTTTCTTTGTCATCTAGAACATGGTTTTTTTAAGTCCTTATGTTCATAGGAAAGGCAAAAACTGCATTTTATAAAATGAAAAACATCTTGTCATTGAAAGAAAAAGAATTCTTGCTTGCTACATATATCCAGTTTTAACATATGGCTGTGAATCCTGGACAATCGGTAGGCAGGCCAAACAATTTCTAGAGGCCTTGGACAGCCAAAAAGAGCAACCAAGAGCTTTTGAAAGAGGCGGGAGCCCGAAGACAACTTGTCACAGACATCAGAAGGAGACAGTCATCATTTTTCTGCCATGTTGTGAGAAGAGGGAAAATGGAACATGTTGTGACCACTGGAAAGATCTGTGGAAGGAGGGATAGAGGAAGACAACAAGAGAAGATGCTTGACAGTCTTGTTGCATGGCATGGAGGTGTGTCGGCACATGAACTGATACATGCTGCAGGAGATCGCAGATTATGGAGAGGTATGATCGCCCTCGCCAGTCGGCAAGGCACCTGATGATGATATGTTCATCTAGAACAGTGGTTGTCTAAGTTTTCTTTATAAATACAGCATACCTCAGAAACTGTAACATTTGAGCAACTAAAATAAAATTTTCTGTATCATAAGCCAAATTTGCCATGTGGATTTCAGAGCCCCATTTGGGAGAGATGAAGGGGGGTAGAAATAATACTGCCCCACTAACAAGCATATCGTAGGAGGCGACTTCTTCTTCTTCTTTGTTAGGGTCTAAGTTGAGTGTACATCCGTTTTACTGGTTTATTTGTGTGCAGATGTTTGTTCCTTGCAAATGCCATTTTGACTTCAAAGGAAGCTCCCAATTAGTCAACTCTTATGAGAGACAAGGAGCAACAGTCTGCAAGCTTTAAAAAATTAGGAAATATTTGTATCACATTCCATGTACAAGACAACTCCTATTTTAAAACTTAAAATATTTGGGGAAACATATCCTCTCAGTCATGGAAAAATATGGTATTATTATTTATACTTTCAGCAATAATTTTTTTTTTTAAGTGGTTACTAGGAATTTTCAAACTTGAAACTACCTGAAGAACAACTTCTTCTTCTTCTTCTCCTCCACCCTGTACCTCATCGAAGTGCAAGGGGAATGTAACATTCGTTGATGAGCTCTGTCAAGAGCACTATTAAGACTGATGTCCATTTCTGTAAGGCTGTTCTTAACGCCATCACTCCATATTTTTTCGAGGTCTTCCACCCGCTCTATACCCAATGTAACATTTTAGTGTGGCTCGCTGTGGCAGATAGTACCAGGGCATTTTTGTTAGATGTCCAAACTACTTCATTTGTTGTTCTTTGATGACTGGAAGAACAACAAAGATTTCAAAGTGGAGAGCACATTTGAATAACCATATAAATTACCTGCCACAACAGTGCTAAACTCCGGTCCTTGCAACTGACCCTTGCCTTCACAGTCAGACAGACACCGCTCATGTTCCTTAAAATACTCTTCCAAACAACCCTCAAAATGAAAGATGACTGATCCCCACTGGTGTTCATCATAAGCCAGCAAAGCTCTGATGTAATGCTCCTGAGGGAAAAAAAAGAAGATATTTGTATTGTATGAATGAAAGAATGAATCAATCAAGAAATGATATCAGTGCAGTTGGGGCACTCATTTACAGGCTAAACAGGCTCCACCTCCTTCCTTTCTCAGTAACCAAAGAAGGGCTGACATGCTAATAGTACCTGTTGCATCTTCATCTTCTTCTTCTCTTCCACCATTTACCTCAGCGAGGTGTTTAGAGGAGATGTAAGGTTTGTTTGTGTGCTTTTTTCCAATGCATTGTACAAGCTGGTGTTCATATCTATAAGGTTGCTCCTGATGGTGTTGCTCCATATTTGGTGTGGTCTTCATCTTGCTCTGTGTTCACTATATTTCTTCAGTGTGGCTCTCTGTGACAGTTGGTATCAGGGCATTATCGTCAGGTGGCCAAACCTCCTCACCTGTTGTTATTGAATGAACTGTATGACTGGTTTCAGTCCTAGACTGCTGATTTCATCTTTCCTGATTTTATCTTTTTTCTTTATACCAGCAGCTCTCCTAAGACATCTCATCTCTTGTTACGATCTTCCACTCATTAGTTGTAGTAGGGTCCATGTTTGGCACTGGTAGCATAATGTCTGCCAAAAAACCATTCTTATGTACATGTTGCAACCTGAACAAAAATCTACTGATCTTCCCCTGGGTGATGAATATCTTTCAGAACCTTTGGTCATCCTGGTCACACTGGCCATCACTGTACTACAAACATTAACTAACTATTGCTTTTGCATCTCCTTCTTCTTTGTTCACCAGCTGAAAGCTCCAGAAGAAAGTGCTGGTTGTTCATTCATTTAGACTTTGGCTTTGTGCCAGGCCCTGAGTTATAAGTTTGATTATCTTCACAGAACTTCAGACACATCAATTGGCGCTCAGATTCCCCTCTCAACAGTGTCGTTTTTTTGGTTGACAAGACTTTGTGTGCGTCCGTTGTACTTCTCATGCTTGGCTGTGTCGATCTTTACTCCCAATTCTTGTAATCTTAGCAGTGATGTGGACACGAAGTGCGAGCTGTAAATGCCCATGCACTCGTATGTCCTTGTATAACAGACTCGTCTGCGAAGATCAGCACATATGTCTCATCTGACTTTTAACTGATAAGCGTGCATACCTCTGCCTTGACAGCAGCCTGAGTTTTTGCCTGAGCAGGTCCTGAGTTTTGTGTGTACATCTGTTTACTGGCTTTTTTTGTGTGCAGCTGGTTGTTCCTTGCCGCTCAGGCAGATGCACTCCAACTTCGAAGAAGGCTCCCATTTAGTTGACTCCTATGACATGCTTGCTGGGGAGGCAGTGGGTCTATTTTTGTTTTCCCCACAATGGGGCCTCCAGAACCCACACGTGGAGCTTTCCTATGAACAGAGATAATAAAATAATATGACAAAAATCACTAATATGGGGTATCATATCACAATTTTGAAATGATTTACCTTGTAAGGCTGCAATTCCAAGTCAACAAAGTCTGTCTCGGACACCTTGGCTGTGTCCCTGTAGTAAACAATGTTCTGTTTGGTGTCCACATCTTGGGGGTTGGCCAGATAATATGTGTAGGCTGCGGAGGCCGCAAGCTTCAGTCTGTCCAGCTGTAGAAAATGCAGTCATTCTGTTAATGGAAGTAGCTTCTATTTTTCCTCCTTTTTTTCTTCATATATTTTTTTAGGGTCACGTTATGAGAAGAAGGAAACTAGAACATACTGTGAACACTGGTTAGGTCTGTGGAGAGAGAGAGAGAGAGAGAGAGAGAGAGAGAGAGAGAGAGAGAGAGAGAGAGAGAGAGAGAGAGAGAGAGAGAGAGAGAGAGAGAGAGAGAGAGAGAGAGAGAGAGAGAGCAGAGAGATAGAAAGTGAGAGGAAGACAACGCGAGATTATTCTTGACCGCTTTTGTCAGGGTGTGGATGGGGTAATGACACATGAACTGATACATTAATATATGTAAGTACTTCTAATTACACAAGGGAGATGAATGGTCGTAGATCACGAGGCAGACCAAGAAGATGATGGAGAGATAATGTCCAGACAGACCTGTAAAACACTTGGCGTCACCAAATGAAAAGAGAAGAAGAGAAGGCCAACCAGAAAGATGAACGGAGGCGGACGATATCTGGAGCAATGAAACTCAAGGGCTCGGAATGCTGAAGAAGAAGTACTTCTAATTATTGACATAAGTACTGTATTTTTCCATATATAAGATCATCCAAATGTTTTCAGCCTCAATTATATAAAATAAATATTTTAATCACATTCTGTGTATAAGAAGACCTCCAATTTTAACCCTTAAAAAAATTGGAAAAACATTGTCATTTACCAAGGAAATATACAATAATTGTTTTTTGCATGTCTAAAGTTGAAAGCATTGACTTCATTGCATTTGGCTTTATCCTAGATGGCCGACAGCGCCATATAAATTGACGATCAGAGAGATCACTTTAAAAACTGCAACTGTGAAGTGAATGACACTTCCGTGAAATAAATCCGTGACCTTCACAGAGCAAAGCAAATGTCTTCGCATGTTTATTCACACTGTTAGTAAATAACACTGTTTTGCATGAGCAGATGCACTTCTCTTTCCAGTTAATGTCCAATGTTTACAAGTCTGCTTAGATATTAACTCTCTACTACGGTCTTGGTCTGCCTTGTTGTCTACTGGCATTCAGTATCCTTTAGCCACATCTAGCTGGTATTATCTGTTTCTCTCTTAATGACTGCTGCTTGCAAATTTATTTATTTTTTGTACTTAACCATATCATTTTTGTTTACGGCTGACACATCAAGAATCCTTCTGCAGTAGTTGGAATTTTTTTTCTCCCTAATATCTATCCATGTTTAAACCTTTTTTCTCTTATAATATTTGCAAAATGTCAATTTAACTTTCTATTTCATCTACAAATGTCTCTTTCACTGATGTTTCTTGTTAGCCTTCTCTTGCCATGGCTATGATCTTTGCAGCTCAGTGTACAACAGTGGCTCTCAACCCTCCTAATGCTGTGAGCCTTTAGTACAGTTCTCTCATGTTGTGGCAACCAGCAAATAATTATTTCCCTTCATAGCTTTAATCTTCTTCTTCTTCTTCGCGTTCACCAGCTGTACACTCTGGCGGAAAGTTCTGGTTGCTCGTCCACTACTGAACTGCAGTCCTGCTCCAGAACCTGAGTGTTGCGTGTGCATAAATTTTTCAGAAATATTCTCTTGAATACAGACTGTTGGTTCCTTGCCTCTCCGGAAATAATGCACTCCGACTTCAAAGGAACTCCCCAATTAGTGGACTCTTACCACATGCTTTTGGGGAGGCAGTGGTCTATTCTTGTTTTCCCCTACAATGGGGCCCCGGAACCCACACGTGGGATAGCTTCAATGAATATGGTCTTAGGCGACCCCGGTAAAACGGTCGTTTGACCCAAATAAAAGGGTCATGACTGGCAGGTTGAGAACTGCTGGTGTAGAAGGATCTCTTATCTCCTAAATTTTAGTTTTTAATTCTGCACCTACCAGGAAGTGGTTGCTATGGCAACGAGTTCTTCTATAGCCTCTAACTTGTTCGAATAAAAATAATGGGACTTTTCTTCTTTTAATTTATCCAAGTGACATAACTGAGTTGTTACTACAGCAGCGATATGTATGCCTTTCAGCCGAAAACATCCAACTTCACTGAGCATTTGCTGACCGGGTTAACTTTCTGTATAATTTCACGGGACACTATGCAGCTCAATTTATGCAGTGTTCTCTCTGTCCTCTTATCTACAGGTGCTGCCCCTGGGCAGCCTGTCCAGGGCAACCGTGCGTAGACTGGTCGGCCCTCATGGAAACTGGACTCAGAATTACAGAAACTGTAACTGAATGTGTTGAAGTAATATATGTTTGATGCTGAAAGAGTTAGTACAGACGTATGGCAGCTAGTCATATATTCAACTAATGGTATCTACTGGAGAAATTTTTTTATAACAGCTATCTTTACTAATGACAGGGGATTTATTATATCAAATAACTGGTAATAAAAACATGCATTCTGAAAAAACATTAGTAATAGAAAAAAAAAGGTATCTTATGGTGCTTTCCTATTCATACACACACAAAAAAACATTGCTTTCTGATGGGGTGTTTTTTTATTAGCTGAAAACCCTTATGGCTAAAAACTACTGATGACCCAGATGCAAAAAAAAACTGTCAACTTACTGACTAAACCCTAATGTATTCTTGTGTGCAATCTGAACAATTTCACTTGTTAAATTAGATTTTTAATGTCAAATTTATGTTGTGTTTTTTTAACAGTATAGTTTTCACACACATATTTCCCTGTGTGGGTTCTGGGGCCCTATTATAGGGAAAACAAGAACAGACCCACTGCCGACCCACAAGCATGTCATAAGAGTCTACTAATTTGGAGTTTCCTTCGAAGTCAGTGCATCTGCCTGAGAGGCAAGGAACTAACAGTCTGCATACAAATTAGTCAGATCTGATAAACGGATGCACACGCAACACTCAGGTTCTGGAACAGGAATGAAGGCCAGAAGTGGACAAACAACCAGAACTTTCCACCGGAGTTTACAGCCGGTGAACGCGAAGAAGAAGAAATACATATTATCCTGTCCAACTCTTGGGGTTACAGAATTATAGTTCCTATCAATTTCCAATATATACTTTTGCAGTTTTAATTATTACTTTGTGGGAAAAATGAATCCAGTAATTATTAGTAATAAGTAATGACAATGAATGCAATAAGTTACATAATAATGAACATCAAACACAACAGACAGAACTACCTTATAGTAGCAGAATTGCAAGTAGTGATACGGCAACCTTTTCTCAAAGGCACTTTCCATTCTGTCTGTGAGCTGAGGGTGAGTATCCAGAGATTCCTCTGTACACCTCCTGTAACAGTCTGCATCTCTCAAAAACTTACCAAACGTTGAGAAATCTGGAACTTGTGATGTTAAATTTGCTAGCTGAGATTCTCTCAATCCTTTACTACACTCCAGTCTGCAGTTGGAAAGCGTGTGTTTGAAAACTTTGTAATCTTGGACTGCCCGTTCGATTTTGTTAGCGCAGGAGTACCACAAATGATCATCGTATGCCCGCACCCCTTGCTCATACAGCTCCTCAAAAGACAGGTTTGTGTCATCGATTTGATTAATTTCAGCCTCAATCGATTGCCCATCTTCATTTACATCTGGCAAAACTGCAAACGCTCCGACATCATCACCAGGTCCCTCAAGATTGGAAGATAAGGACTTTGCTGCCGTCGAGTCGTCTAGGGCTGAAACTAAAACTTGGAAAGTGCTGACAACCACAATTATTCCCAATAAAAAGTTCTTTAACATCGGCGAATAACAATGTCTAGTCTTTGAACATGAACTAAAATAAGCCATTTCACTAACAAAATGCGAGTGGTGATGTTAAAAGTAGAAATATGAACGTTTTCAGCAGAAATAAACTTCAAGAATGAGTTTCTCAACTACGAACAAGAAGCACGACTGCTCGCTCCCGCAGACGAAAGATGGAGTTATTTTTAGTGGGGGCGCGGCGAGCTCCTGCTTGGCTTCTGTAGGATGGGTTCTCAAACACAATGGACACAAGAACAACCGCTTAGTATGCTCACTCAACTATCTTACAAGAACACCAAGATTTTGAAGTAGTACTTTCACATAAATAATATCTAGTTGAATCCTAAGTGTTATAACTGGGATATATAATGACCATTGTATTTTCAATGAATGTTTTCTATTTTATATACAATTCAATTATTTCGTTTAGTCATATATGCAATCATTTGCATGCTTTCATTAAAAATATTATCATGTTCACACGTAATAGATACCAAGATGTCTAATTATTTTTTTTTCTGTCTTTTTTAACTGCATTTTAAAGAGTTTGCAGCAGTTAACCTGTCTGAATAGTGATTCTAATTTCTGCGTGTTTCTGAAGTCAGTGGGGACAGTTTGGTAACCCCTCGTTCCGCCACAAAGAAAAAGACGAGACTCATCAGAAGGTACGCTTTTTAAGAATCTTCTGTGAATCCTGTAGACGTGGCGGTATATTGCACCAGTCTGCTAGCACGCTGGTCTTGGGGTAGGGTGCGCCACGTCAGCGTTTTACAAAATCGGGGAGAGAGCTAAACAAATTCCAGGGAATCAAGAGTGTAGAAAGGTCGGTAATGCTGGTTGGGCCACGTTTACAATAAACTGGAAGCCATTTTATTTTCTGGAACCGGGACAGCGAGGGGAACAGGGATAAACATAAAATATAGGGTACAAAAATTACAGAAGTAAGGGAAAGAGAATCATGAAAAATACGAGGACGTGCATGGAGCTGCAGAAGTTAGCAAGAGATATGAGGGCTTGGCATTGATTAATTGAGATTGTGCTACAATGGTAGATAAAATGATATGAGGAGGACAACGATGATGAAGAAGACGACGAAGAAAGCGTATGGATCCCAAGTAATGTGAAAGCTAGGCCAGCAGTCAGTATTAAGTAAACGGATAATAGTGATCTATTAGCGCCAGAAACTATAGACTGAAAGCCTTTTAGCTTTTCCTCAACTGTACAGCCGTCTGCACTGACAATAGTAGTAACAGCAGAAGTGGTATAAGTAACAGTAATGGTAATGTTTGAGGTGGTGATAATATTAGTATGTATGAATCAATCAAGAATTGATGTCACTGCACTCGGGATATTCTCACACGTGCTCCGTCTCCTTCATTATAAGCCAACGAAGAGTCGACATGCTAAGTGTACCAGCTGATTACAAGTCTGCTGATTCTTCCCCCCCCCCCCCCCCCACAGCGTTGAATATCTTCCTTACTATCTACCTCCTCCCCCCCCCCCTTTTTCCTTTTTTTCAGTCTTTTTAGTGTATGGATTTTCTGTCTATTCTATTGCAATGCCCATCTGATTCCATAAAGTAGCTCACCACTAGGAAGCACGGCAGCAGTCAATCTATCAGCCTGCTAATTATACCGTTCACCCCAGTGCCTTAGACGGAAAATTCATTATATGCTCCTCAAGTAATGCTAACCACTCTATGCATAAGACGCCAGTTTCAATTTTCTGAAGCATGCTGTGCGAGTCCGTTACAATCACAATACGCCAGGCTGTGTTGCTCTCAAGCCATCGGAAATCTGCTGTTATTGCCTCCACTTCCATTCTCATACTGGATGTTGTGACGTTATACTCGAAGCTCTCTGTTTTTAAACAGTGTTCATTCACCTTGGCAGTAAAACCACACACACTCTTGTTACCTCTCACCCATCTGTGTATATAATGAAGTCATCTGCGTGAATTTTCATTGATCAGCTCTTGTAGCGGTGTCTGTTTTGCCAGCTGTCCATTCCCGACACTCTCGGTCCAAAACAACTGCCAGTCTATGTAAGGGGGCTTTGATGTGCGACACTGTGATCCATTCCTTGTGATGCGCAAGGAATGCGCTATCTGGTCAGTAGTATAGGCAGTTCGTAGTGATTTATGCTTGTGCCATCCAAAGCCCACCTCTTTTCAGCTGATGTTTCTTAGTATCCCTAAGGCCTCACGTAGAAGGTGTTTCCGGTTCGTTGCAACATAGTAGTAGCAGTACATACAGTAGAGGATCCTGGCATATTTCGCTGTATTTCGTCAGGTGCATACTACAGTAACAATTACATAAATCAAGCAAATAAGTGAATCCTTTATAACTGAAGTACAATTCCAACAACGACCAAACATGGCTGCCTGTTTTTACCAGGGCAGCCGTAAAGACTGAACCATCTCTTTCTGAATACAGATTTCTCGAAGCTTCCGCGATTCGTCACCTGCGCCCGGAACTCTGTATTCAGAAAGAGATGGTTCAGTATTTAAGGTTGCCCTAGTAAAAACAGACAGTCATGTTTGATCGTTGTTGAAATTGTACTTCAGTTATAAAGGATTCACTTATTTTCTTAATTTATGTAATTGTTACTGAAGTATACACCTGACGAGATACAGCGAAATATGCCAGGCAATAAATTGTGCAATCTATTGTTTGTGTCTTCTTTGTTTAAATTTACAACGGGGGAACATTGCTTTGAAGTAAAGGATCCCTTTTCATGTCTTCAGGCGTATTTGGCATATAGGGCTAGACCTATATTTTATAGTCAAATCGGCCTTTTGGAGCGATTTTGCCAGCATAACGCTGCCCGCTTTTACTTCTCATGATTTTACCGGTACCCATTTAAGACTGGATGGACCTGGAAACCGAGGTAACTTGAAGAAAACAAAAAGCCTAACCCTGTTCTGATTTTAACACACGATCTTCTGAACCGCAGGCGAGCATCTAACCGACACATCATGGCATCTCACTGTAGAAGTAGCAGAACAGTTATACCAAAATCATCATGCCCAATTCGTGTGGGTTATAAATATCTTCTTCTTCTTCTTCAGCGATCTCTGGTCATGCGCATAATCCACTGTGGGTCATAAACTGTGATGTCTTTTCAAGGTCTCTTAGGTTTCCCCAAAGCTTAGTTGTCAGTTCTACTGGGTGTTGCCATATGTCGCTCCGCAGCTCCGCCAGGAGAGGACAGTCTTGCAGGACATGTTCTGGAGTCTGTTCAGCACGAAGACACTGGCAGTGAGCTGTTTGGCTCATACCTAATTTATATCAGTGTTTATTGAGTCTGCAGTGTCCAGTGCGTAAGCGAAAAACTGTGACTTGGTCTGTTCTGTTCAAGTGCCTCAGAAAATCTTTTTCGTAGTCATAACCAGTGTTGTTTTTCCAATCTGTTTCTGATTTTCTCTTAATGAGAGTTTTGACTTCTGGAAAAGATAGTGGCTGGTAGGTCTGTAGTTTGTTACTGCCGGTTATAAATATGATGGAAGAACGGTTAAAACGCTGGGCTCTCAGGCGGTAGACCCGGGTTCAAATTTTCCGTAAGGCTGTAAATCCTCAGGCTCAAATACCCCCCCCCCCCTCCTTTCCCCTCCCCCTCCCCTTGCCTACACCGCAAAGTGGTATAATAAAGGCAATAATTGGAAACTGTTATAATTGTGATACATTTAACTGTGTAGAGGTTTGTTTAAAATATTTTTTCACAAAATAAAAATAATGTTGTGATTTTGTAATTTAATGTGTGTAATAACTAATGTGTCGGCTCTGTGGCCAAGTCGATGCGAACGTGCCGGGATGCCGGGTTCGATCCCAACTGCGGGCCATGCGCCTTGCGTTGGTTTCGACAGTGCTATCAAGAAAGCCTAGCGCCCAGAAAACAATGGCAAACTACTGGACGTTATTTTGCCTAGAATAACCACACAACAGCCAGGGGTTGTTGGGGATGGTTCTGCATCGTCCTGTAAAGGATACGCAACTAACCCAATAACTAATGTACTCCGCTTTTCTTGCCTCATAACTTAGTCTGAACACCAATCTGATCCAGTAAATCTTCGGTATGTGGAAAAAGCTATGTATTCAGAGACAGATGAGTTAACTGCCAAGGACATGACTTAAAGCAGTATACTGTTAACTGTGTATTATTCATGGTAATCTAACTCGATTCACGCGATTTGGACTCTAGTACGACTTAAGTCGCGTAATTAATGACTTGCGACCAGGGCTGTCGAAATTTTTTATGAATAATGGTATTTTATGGTATACTCCCATGCACTTCGTCACGCCTCAACACAAAGCCATCTGCTTAGATAATCATATCACCTGGGCGGGATTGTCATGAATCATTTGAAATAAACGGTGACCGAAAAAGGTCTTTGACAACCTTGAAGGGTGGCCACTTAGTCCAACCTCTTATTATTCGTAATTTAAAATTATGTGCTATGTTGGGAATTAAAACCATACTAGAATGTCTCTGCATTGGAACCCACAAATACGAAAGAATAAAAACGGAGCGAACAACATATGGGGACGAGAATTAGTGAGTGAAGCTAAGTAGATAAAGAGGACACGAGAGCTTCATGCGATAGCAAAGAACAGGATGACATCAAGCGCTTTTTAGTGAAAAGGGCGACAGACTGAAGAGGGGGAAATCGTGGCTAGGTCGGGCAGAAGATGTTATTAGGCAAATATGCAGCCTAACCGACATCATACCTGGTGCAGAATGGATACCTGTGCCTCAGGCGTTTATTTGCACATTTTCCTGTATTGTCACACTCAACAGGCGATGTAGAGAAGAGAATCCTGTTGCTGTTAATGCAGAGGTCAACGCTCTCATCGGTGAAAATTCACACGAAGCAGATGCAATAATCTATACAGACGGATCTGTTATACGCCAAAGAAGAAGCGCATGGGCATTTACAGCACGCTCAGCGGGCAGAACAGCCAAAGAAGCCAACGGCGCCTTCTCCATGACAACCAGCAGCATGACGATGGAGGTGATCGCAGTGACACAAGCGCTTGCCTGGCTTGA